GGCCGGAAGTGCCGGGGGTGGTCGGTGTCGGCATCAGCGGGGCCGGTGCGGGCGCGCTTGCGAGCCGACTGAGTCGACGTGGCCGTGGTCGTGGCCGGCGTTGGACGCTGCGGAGGTGGTGGTGGGCGGGCAGCGGGCGGCGAGGGAGGCTGCGCTGGGATCTTTGGTTTGCGCTTGCGGTCGCCGTCCCATACGACGCAGTCTACGTGGAGGACTCTGCATCGGTGGCACTTTTTGTCGTAGTCGACGGGTCGCTGCGAGGAGGGTACGGTGAGGTCTGGCAGCTCGCACCTTGCCTTTTTGTGCCTGCACTGGAGGCAGCTGCGCTTTGCGAGGGTGCGCTTGGGCCGCTGCTGCTGTTGCTGTTGCGGCGGCGGTTGATGGGCGGCTGGCGGGTTTGCGGTCGACGAGGGCGCGGCGGAAGACGACGAGGACGAGGAGGCAGCGTGGGCTGGTGGAGGGGCGGGGATGGGATGGGACGACGAGGATGGCGACGAGGCGGTGGAAGAGTTGGCCGAGGAGGAGGCTGCGGTGGCGGGGCGGTGGAAGCCGTTGTTGGTATGCGCCGCGGCCCGGGGCGGCAGCATGCCGGGCAGAGGTGGTTGCGCCGGCGGGCAGATGGGGTGAGCCACCGTGCGAGGGATACGGTGGGGCGGGGCGGAAGGGCGGGAGCGACGATGAGGATGATGGCGGTGGCTGTCGCAGAGTGATTGTTGGTGGCGGGTCGCCGTCGCGGCCACAGTCGAGGAGGACGAGGAGGACGGGGAGGGGGAGGAGGCGGTGGTGGTGGTGGTGGTGGTGGGGGTGGTGGTGGTGAGAGGCCGACGCGGATTTGCGCGGCTGCGACGAGAAGTGCGACGGAGTGCGACGGAGTACGACGGGCCAGGCAAAAGCAAAGGGCCGGCCAACCACGGGCAGGGCCACCCTGCCTCGGCCTGGCACTCGCACGCCCCTGGCTGGCATCCGTTTGGCCTGGGCGTCTGCTGCTGGCATTCTACCCTACCCTGGCCTCTCTGGTGCGCAGCCGAAGCCTTGCTTGCTTGTCGCGGTCCGACGGACATGCATGTCCATCCATGTCCATATGGGGCCAGGCCGACGTGGGCCCATCTTTCAGGCTAGGCACCAGCCCCGTCGCCGCTCGCCGCTCGCCGCCCGCCGCCCGCGGGCCAAACGATGCGGGCCAGGGTTTTTCCAGCTGTCCGCGGCGGATCAGGCCACGCCGAGCGGCCGTCGTCGCAGCCTTAGCTTGCTTGCTTCTCGTTTACGTCGTTCACCTGGCCTGCCTCCGCTCGGCCGCCCGCGTCTTGGCAGCCTGGCCTGGCCTGGCTTGGCCTGGCCTGCCCCGCCCTGCCCTGCCCTCGCCGCCTGCCTCTGGCAAGGCCCACAAGAGAATCCGCCTTTGCTCATCACATCACAGCATGACCAAGCGCGGGGATGGCCCCCCTCGCCCCGTCTTGACGAAAACGTACGACGGGAGAACAATGGCCTGACCGAACCCCCCCCCGCGCCAGATGGCAACTCGCTCGACACGCACGCCGGCACAACAACGTGGCCGTCGCCTGCATCTCATCAAGCTAAGGCATCCCAACGCCAGCCGCCAGCCAGGGTCCACGTCCACTGCCGCCTAGCCAAGCCTCTGCACCGCCCCTCCGCCGTTGCTAAGCTCGCCGCCACCGTCGTCCTGGCCTGGCATATGCATGGCCGCTTGGTGACGCCGGCACACCACCGCGGTCACCACGGAGAGCTCGCTCCGACCCTGCTGCGCTTCGCCGCCCCCCCCCTCGCCTGACCGTTCGTTCGTATAACATCAGAGGCCCAGCGCGGCCAGCTTCTTGCTCCTTCGCCCCCCCCTCTCTGCCCCGTCCTGTTCCCCTCCTGTGCCTCCGTCCCTTTCCTGTCTTCTTCCGTCAACGTCCAAGCCTCCGCTGCCCGCCGCCACGGCCACCATGGCCGCCAGAAGATCGACGCCCGCCAGGACGCACGCCCTCGCCGTCGCGCTCGTCGCCTCGGCCTCGGCCTCGGCCGTCAGCGCTCGAGAGTACAATGGCATCCTCAAGTACCAGCCCAGCATCCCCGGCAACGCCGTCATCGGCGCAGTCTACACGCTCCTCGCCGCCGTCTTCTTCTACTACGTCTGGCGCCACAAGACGAAATGGGCCCTCTGCCTCCCCATCGGCGCAGCCTGCTCGGCCGTCGGCTTCTTTATCCGCTGCGCCCTCGACCCGGACACGGTCACCACCGGCATCTACGCCACCATGATGCTCCTCGTCGTCCTCAGCCCCGCCGCCTTCCTCGCTTTCAACTACCTCCTCTACGGCCGCTGGATCGCCGCACTCGACCCCGACTTTGGACGCCAGCCCCTCTCGGACAGGCAGGCCCAAAAGAACCGCAAGTGGTACCACCGCAGGCGCGACGGCCCCCTCCTCGAGCGCTCCCACTACTCGCTCCTGCCCCCGCGCCTCGTCGGCCGCTTCTTTATCTGGTCCGACGTCTTTACCTTCCTCATCCAGTCCGCCGCCGGCGGCATCCAGGCCTCGGCCGACGCCGACTACAAAAAGGCCCAGCTCGGTGACAACGTGAGTCGACACCGCAGCGTGGTAGCCTCGCCATGCCCTGGGTTGCGAGAGGAGACTCTGGCGCTGACTCTGTGCACCTCCATCCCCGGACCCGTTGGCGGCGCCGCCTGTGCAGCTCTTCCTCGCCGGTGTGACGCTGCAGGGCATCAGCTACCTCGTCTTTACGCTGCTCATCGTCGTCGCCGTCTTCCGCATGCGCAAGCTCGGCGGCGCGCAGCGCAGCAGCCGCTTCCTCCCCGCCAACCACCCCATCATGAAGATGTTCTTCCTCTTTCTCTTTTCGAGCCTCTGCATCATTGTGAGTGGCGCCCGCGGCCCAGGCGCCCATGGCACCTCCTCTCGCTCGCTCTCGCCATCGCTCGACGTCGACTGACCGCCTGGCCCGGCCCGCTGTTGCCCTTGCCCTCCACCACAGATCCGTTCCGTCTACCGTATCGTCGAGTTCAGCCAGGGCTACGACGGCTACCTCAACCGGCACGAGAGTGAGTCGACCGCGTCGTCGCCGTGCAGTCATTCGCCAGGCCGCTTAACCTGACCATGCCCCTGCTCCTCCCTTCCGCCCCTCGCCCGCCCGGCTCGACCAGTCTATCTGTTCCTCCTCGACGCCCTGCCCCTGATCCTCGCCATCGGCACATGGGTCGCCATCTGGCCCAGCACCCTCCTCGACAAGGGCGCACAGAGGGTGCGCGAGGACCTCCAGCTCACCTCGGTCGAGAGCGGAGAGCTAAAGGCCAACCCGCCCTCGCCTCCGATGGTGGCGACTCGGTGAAGAAGGCTCTCGACCCGGCTCTGGTTTCGAAACGACCACGTCACGAAGCAAAAGCATTTTTTTCATCAGGATTGCATTGACAGCGCAGCACCGTAGCATCGTGGCGTCGCATCGGGACCGACATCATGCGGGCACATTGATACAGAGTGTACATAGACATTGCCGTTGAAGTCAGAGGACGATGAATCGACCTAGACGACTGCAGATGGGGCTGGTCTGATCTCAATCGTGTTGAAGCCCTCAAAAGGCTCCTTGTTGAATGTACTATATCCTCTTACCACTGGAGACTGGTACAGCATCGATATCCTTACTCCTCCTCATCCCTGACCTCTCTGCGCAAGCCCTCTACCGTCCTCGGCCGCCCGCGGTACCCAAGACCCCAAGGGCATAACAACTACCCATGATTGTTGCTTGTCATGGCCTGTTGGACTGCCATCTGGCCTGTTTCTTCTGCATCTGTCTTGAGTTGCCTTGATCTACCCATCAAAGGGCAATGATGCTCACCACCATGTTGCTTCTTGAACATGAGCCCATTCCATTAGGCCATGCTCTGGTGCCAATTGACCTCAACACTGCCCCCTTTGCCCCATGGGACATGGGCGGGTTCTGGGGCCGTTTGGAGCACCCCAATGAAGGGACAGGAGAAATCGTGCGCCGCCAAGACCGGCTTCTCAAGCTGCTACGATTACATCAAGAGCGGACCGAAGCTCGACGAGGCTTATTGGACCATCAACTCGCTCAAGGTCTACCAGACCTCGCGCCGCAAGTGATCCCGCTGGCCTCCGCCGACGTGTTGCCAACCTCCTCTCCTCTCCCTGCCCTAGGTAGAGACCAACACACACACACACACACACATCCTTCTGATTTCTCCGACCACACCCTCATTCTTTCATGAACCAATGTACATACAAAGGATCTGTTCGTCGTTCGAGGTCGAGGTCCGGGGACGCGCGCCGGCCCGCCGTCATCCCTCACCTCCCCACCCCACCCTACTCCCTGTTCAATGCGAATCGCTGGGCGCCCGACCGGAGCCGGTCTCCGAGGCGCTGCCCCTCCCCTTTCCCCCCTCTCTCTCGCTGCTACAGCGCCTGTGCCTGTGAGCGCCTGCTTTGTCTCTCTGGCAAGAAATGGACTCGACGCGTACGTGATACAGCCCTGAGTACCAAGAACCTCTGCTGAAGTATGAAGCATGCGTCATACAGCTCCTCTGAGTCTCAAGCCTGTTGAGGCTTACCATACAGCGGCTCAAGTACTCGATCCAGCAGCTTCACCTGTACAAGCAGTAGCATCAACAAGCACATGCTTAGTACTCTGGCATCTGCAGCTCTTCCTGGGAGCAGCAAGGACCATGCCTCCAATGTCTTGCTACAACTCAGGGGGCACCATAGCAGCAAGCTACTAATCACTCCCCCTGGCTCCATGGCATTTGCCTCGTGGTTGACAGGCACACTGACATGGTCCTTGACATCTGCCAACTCATTCTGCACCCCTTGATGCTATCAGCCTAAGACCTCCTTTGCAATGCCAGCAGACCAACACTATGTTGTACGGATCACCGCCGAGAAGGCTGCTGCAGTCAAACGATTAAGATGATGCAGAGCCGCAGCATGGAGGGACAGCCTCGTCGCGTTTGACCTGCCATCTTCCCTTTCCCACCAACCTCCACGAACCTTAAGGCTCTCAACATCATGCCATTTCAAGCCGCATCAAACTGACGCTGGCCAGCCCGTCACCTCCGATGTCAGACCAAAGTGGCAGCGACGGCGACGGCGATACCGACTCGCTCTTCTCGTCGTCGTCTTTGTCCTCGGCCCCTGGCTCCCCCCGCGACGTCGCAGCCCAGACGGCCGAGGAAGGATCGTTCCGGATCGCATCAAGACGAGCACCGGCGGTACCGGGTCTCTTGTTCTTTCCGGACCTCCTTTCCGCCTCGCTCTGCTCCGATGTGGTGTCTTCGGTCGCAGACTGCGGCTACTTTACCGACGAGGTCGTGGGACGGAACCAGGCCATGCTCTTTGCACGGGCGCGGCCGTCAGAGTGTCGCCCTCGCCGAGATACGATCGACCCGCCGGGGGATAGAAGCAAACGGCGCAAGGTAGAAGGCGAGGCCGACGAGGCCGACCACGGCGGACTACCGGCATGGGTGACGAGACTGATTGCAGAGCTCGAACGCAAGCTGGACGGTCTGGTCGACGACGAGCTGCATCGCCTTCTCTTTGCCCCGCGACTCCGTCCGCCCGCCGAAAGGACGAGCACGCACGCCAAGACGGACGCCGAGACGGCACTGCGATCACGACAGCTCATCCTCAACCTGTACAGACCAGGAGAGGGCCTCTCGTCGCACGTCGATCTGATGCGCTTCGGCGACGGCATCATGCTAGCCTCGTTCGGCGCTCCTCAACGCGGAGTGGTCATGGAGTTTACCCGCGTTGCGCAAGACCAGCACGCCGAACAGACCATCGTCCATTCCCTCTTCCTGCCGTCCGGGTCGCTCCTGATCCTCTCGGGCGAAGCGAGGTACGACTGGAAGCACGGCATACCCGCGCGGAGGTTTGATCTGGTCCGCGACGACGACGACGACGACGACGACGACAGCGCGGTGCGGCTCGAGAGGGGCACTCGGCTCAGCGTCACGATACGCTGGATGGGCGAGGGCGGAGACGTGGTGGGCCACGAGGACGCCGATTCGCTCGCATCTGGACCGGTGCCAGGGTGAAGTGAGCGGGTGGGCCCTCTACAGCAACGTGGGAGCGGCGGGGGGTATCTTCTTATTGCTTCGTATGCACTGCCAACACGAAACCTCGGAGCAAGGACAGCGATGCAGGCCCGGAAGCCGGGGCTACGTCTGCGTGGCGCCTGCGGCTCGTCTCCCTTCGCGAAGCACTGAACGACATTCTGCGATGATCTCGCGCACTCCCTGGACGCCGGCGTCGGACCAGGCCGACAGGACCGCCTCCATCTGGCCCCAGAGGCGTTCGGCTTGCGCGAGGCCTGCTGGGCATCGTCGCGGGGTTCAGAAGGCGCGATTTCGGGTTTGAGCGAGTGCCACGCCGCTCGAAGGAGTCGTGCACACCGACTCACCTTGGCTCGATTGGCCCTGACTGCTGGCAGCGTCGGGCTGTGTGCCGTCGATTGGTGCGATGCCAAATTCGATGAGGTCCCGGAGGGCGGTGGGTAGCGTGACGATGGCTTCCAGGTCGGGCAGCATGTCGCGCGCGGCCTCGACTGTCGAGCTGCCTGGGTCGCCGGAGCCAGAGGCAGGGATCGGGCTGCGCAGTGTCTCTAGATTGGTCTCGAGCTGTGCGATGCGGGAGAAGCTCTCTCTGAGGGCGTCGAGGGAGGGGTCGAGCGACTCTGACTTTTGCTTCATCTGCGTGGCCAAGAGGTCGGCCGGGGGGCATCAAGCAGATCGTCAGTACAGGACTCGACATCAACGTGGAGCCCTTTCCAGGGCGATCAGACTTACGTTGCGTATCGTATCGCTCGCGGCGACGAGCTGGTGGTGGTGGTTGTATACGAGGCTCTGGCGTTCGCCATCGAGCTCGCGGATCTCGGTGATGAGGGTGCTCTCCTTTGCGAGGAGCTGACTGAGGCTGCCTGTGCGCAGCAGTGCGGCGAGGGCGGCGTCCTTGGAAAAGGCCGGGTTGTCGGGATCCGTTGGGTCTGCGGGGGTCGATGAGGCGGCGGCGGGCGAGTCGGGCCCAGGGCCCGGGCCCGGGTTGGAGAGGCCGTAGTAGTCGCGGAGGAGGTTGGCGCCTCTGCGCGGTTTCGGGGTGGCTGCGCTGCGCCCGTTTGCATCGCTGCTGGTGGTCGCTGCTGCTGCGGCCATGGCGATGAAGCTGTTGACGGTGGTGATGAGGGTGCCTGTGCCGGGATGGGATGGGAGAAGACAGAGGACTAGGCAGGAAGGAAGCAATCGGAGGAGCGAGGGTCGTGGTGAGGGGTCAGTGCGCTCGGCGGCAACGCCCCTCGTCCCCGACTTCCGAGGTCTCCTCATCTCGGCGACTTTCCCGTGGGCAACTGACGTGCGGCGACCGAACGTCGGGCTGGCTGCCATCGGCCCTGCTGGCATGGCCTGCGCGCTGACGATGGTCTGTGCTTCCGACCTGCCCGAGCGAAATCCGCCGAAATTGAGGGCCACGTTGAGGACCTCGTCTTGATGCCCTTCCCACCTGGCCCGCTGCGGACCAAGCCCCTGACGCTCTCACCAACCACCATCACCTGCTTGCCTACAGCGCTGCGCTTCCATAGACTCCCAATCCAATCATCCCCCACCCTTTCTAGACACATAGACGCTCCCTTCGTCATGGCGCCCACCAGCAGAGTCTACCTCACCCGCCACTCGCAGGCAGAGCACGTAAGTCGTGGGCGCCGCCGCAGCAGCTTGGCACTCGTCACCAAGCATGTCCCAGCGACAAGGACCGTTCTGACGTCCATCGACCGCTCGTTTTCTCCTTCGCCTGCCACCCGCACAGAATGTCGCCGACGACTACTCGATCCCCGACGCGCCCCTCACCCCGCTCGGAAAGCAGCAGTCCGGTCGCCTCCCCTCGCTCACCCCAGAGCTCCAGCAGACGGCCCAGGTTATTCTCTCGTCGGGCCTCAAGAGGACGCTGCAGAGCACAAAGATCGGCTATGCCCCCGCCATCGAGCGCCTCGGCGGCCTGGGCAAGGTAGTGCTGCTACCCCAGCTGCAGGGTGAGTGACATCGAGATGGCGCCGGGATCCTCGACTTCGACCGGCCGTTGGGTTCCTTTCTCTTCGCCCAGCATCTCACGTCTGACGCGGCACCGCTATCTCCTTTCTCCGACCTGCCCGCCCTGCAGAATGCAACGACTTCCCCTGCGACACCGGCTCGGCCCGCGAGGTGCTCGAGGCCGACCCGGAGCTGGCCGGCTTTGACTTTTCGCCCCTCACGCCCGACTGGACGAGCAAGCGGGGCTTCTACGCCGCCGACGACGCCTCGCTCAACGCCCGCGCCCAGTGGGTGCGCCAGTACATCCGCGACAGGCCCGAGCAGGAGATTGTCGTCATGGCCCACGGCGACATCCTCCGGAGGATCACGGGACAGCAATACGTGAGTCGTCGTCGTCGTCGTCGTCCCGGCCACCGAGTCCATCCTACGGCCCAGCGAAGCGACACAGCCGCGCCCAGCTCACTGACAATTCTACTCGCGCCTGCTCCGTTTGTTTGACCGACCGGCAGCCCTGGAAGAACGCCGAGGTGCGGCTGTTCCAGTTCGATCCGGCCACGGTATCGACCGAGCAGGCGCCCCTCGTCCACGTCCGCGACATTGCCACGGGCGGCAGCGTCGAGCCCACCTCGGGCGACATTGCAAACCAGAAGGGCGTCCCCAACGCCGGCGCAAACGGCAACGGAAATGCTGCTGCTCCGTAAGCATCCCACAAGCAACCCACCCCCTGTCCCCCTCGTTCCTCCTCCTCTCTCCTCTTCCTCCTCCTTCGGCTTTGGGACTCGGCGCGTCGGGATCGGATCGGACCGGACCGGATCGGAGCTTGGGTTGAGTGTTGCGCGCGCGCACCGCCTCGTCGCTGCTCGTAGCACGCCGATGCGCTAGCGCTACCGCCGGGACTGGCGGTATGGCGGAAGACACGTCGGACCGCCCCATTCGCGTCGTTGCACGCCCCCCAGCACTATGCTGATCCCCCTTGTTCCCTCTTTCCTGTCCTCCACCACATCCTCCTGCCTCGCCATTGCAGCTCCGAGAGCCTCGCGGCCATCGAGGAGCGGGTCAAGGAACGCCAGTCGGCCGTCCAGTCCAAGGCCAACGAGCTCGAGGAGCTCGAGCGGCGCCTGGCGGATGCGGAAAAGAGAAAGGCCGAGCTCGAGGCCAAGGGCATCAAGATCTAGAAGCGGCGCGCGCGCCGTCCCGTTCCCGCCATTGTCGCATAGAAGGGGCCAGTGTCCGCGCGGATGGATGATCTTTATAAGCACCTTCGATTGACCGTGGCCGTGAGCAGGCCAATGAGACCGGACGCGCTGGTCCGCTCTGACAATGCTGTGGGAAGATGCTACTTGTTGAGATGCGCCGTGTTGCCGAACAACGTCTTGTACCTGCTCCGGCAACGGCGGCGATGCAAAGGCGAGGTGACCGGAGGAAGCTGAGCGCCCTGTCCGACATCGCATCTAGCGACCACGGTGCAGACTCACATAAAGGCTTCGCTGAGGAGCATTTCTGCGTCCTTGTCCGACCATCCCTGCGTCGGCAGGCTCTGGAGGTACATGATGATGCCCTGCGCGCGCGCCAGCACCCAGAGGGAAGCGGGGAGAGGGTGAGGGGACCGGTCAGGTCAGCGTCAAAGGTCAACGTGGGACGTTTGCGGAAGCTAGGCCCCCGGCTCAGGGACGCAGGCGCACCTGGAAGTCCATGTCCATGAGCTCCTTGCTCCACTTGTGCAGAAACACCGAACAGACGTAGAGGTGGAAGTCGGAAAAGGCATCTTGTCCCTCGGCCTGAAGATGCGAGTCGTCGTCGTAACAGCAGCAGCAGCAGCAGCAGCAGTAGCGGGAGGGACGAGGTGCAAGATGGGGGTCAGCTCGGCCCGGCACCGCTTATCGGAAGGGCCCGCGGCAGGGACGCGACGCGACGCTACGCACCAGGTACGTGTCCCACATGCGGATGATGTTGCGTACGCTCATCTCGCGCATCAGCAGGCAATTCATCCACCGGAAGGCGAATTGCATGTACTCGACCCCCTGCGCTTGCAGGTGTGCATGGAGCGGAGCTGCGATAGAGGGATGCGAGAAAACACGATGTGAGATGGCAAGAACGACCTTCGACGCGCGAGCGATACTCCATCGCCACCTCGCGCGACGGCTGCTGCTGTTGCTGCGTCGGCGGGGTACTCACCATCGATGCGGGCCACCAACTCGCCCATCCGCCTCACCTGCCGCTGGATGCCCGGCTGCGCAAAGATGTAGTTGTCCTGGATTCCGTCGAGCAGCTTGGACAGGCACCAGAACGTATCGGCCTCGAGCGCCTCGAGCGCCTCGGGCGGCAGCAGCGACACGTCGTACATCTCCGGGTCCGAGTCGATGTAGGCCGAGAGGAAGACCTCGAAAAAGGGCGTGGCGAGGTCGTTGATGCCTTGCACGTAGCCCGACGCCGGGTGGCGGATGGCCCAGACGTAGAGAATGCGCTCCAGGGCGCGCTGCGTCGCCTCGCGCTGCCACAGCCGGATGCCCGGATTGGTGCGCGGAACGTCGATGTGGATCTGGTGCCAGATGGCCTGGTCCAGGCCGGCGATGCCCTTGGCAAAGGCCAGCTTGACGCCCGACGCGTACTCGGCCCGCTTGCGCGATAGCGTCTGCGCCCGCACCGCCGCCACCGTCGGAAGATAGCCGAGCAGCAGCTGCCACACGACCGGCCTGAGCTCGTCGGGTACTCCTGCCCAGGCGAGCGACCGCAGCACCGAGATGTCGATGCTGGGCTTGCCCAGGCAGGAGAGGAGCTGCTGCCTTCTTCGTGACGTGCGGATGCTCCTTTTGCGGTTCGGCACCGTGCTGCCCAGGCCGCCTGGGGTCGTCACCGGCACGATGCTTCCGGATATCGACGTCACCACCCCGTTCTGCCCGGCCGGCTCGGCATCGGCAAAGCTGGGCCCAGCCATGATGAGGCCGTCGCCGGCCGCAGCGACCGGGTCGAACTGGAAGTCGGTGCTGGCTGACGGCGTGATACCTATTGCCATCCTCTCGCTCGTGGCCGAATCGGGCGCAGAGCCGGCTTCGGTCATGGGCGTGTCGCCGCTGCTCGAAGGGCCGGTCCAGCAGAGCGAGAGGCGCGCCAGGGCGTGCGTGGGGTCCTTGATGAGATGGTCGAGGTCCGGACGGATCGCCCCGGTCAGAGCATCGGCCTCGCTCTTGCCTGACTCGGCCTTACGTCTCGCCGACCGCTTTCGGAGAACCGTCCTGCCGGTGTTCAGGTCGACTTCTTCTGCCTCGACATCGCTGTCGTCTTGCTTCGTATCCCGGTAGGCTCCCGATTGAGACGAATACACCTGCGCGCGGCCTGCGGCTTTCTGACCGGCCTCGCTGCCCGCTGTCCCCTCCCCCGTCGCCGCTTCTTCGCTCGCCACGAGCTGGAACCCGCTGCCGCTTCCTGTCCCGCTGCCATCTCTTCTGAGGTCGACTGCCACGTCGGTTGGCGGACTTCCCACTATGGGCGCCTCGGTTCCGCCATTCGCTGGTGAGCTGCCTCGGGCTGCGAAGTTGTCGACCATGGTCCAGCTGGTGCCGCGCTGACCGGAAGACGTGCTGTGCAGGCTCGAGGGTTCGCCATCGGCGGTGGCGCTGATGCCTGCCGGCGACTGCGAAGGGGGTCTGCCCGGCGTTGAGATCGCATTCGCAGCGGTCGAAGAGCCCGAGCCCGCGCTTGAGCGGCTCGGGACGGCGATGGCGATGGCTGGTGTCGACGCGCCGGGCCGGGGCAGCGAAGGTGAACGGGAATCCGCTGGGGATCCTGCCTGTTGTTGGCTGGACTGGGAGAGATAGCTCGAGGACCGCGAGTTGCTCTTGAGGCTGCGAGGCACGTTTGTGCGGGGGGCGACGCGGGAGACAAAGTCGTCGTCGTCGGATTCTATTCCCCATGCCTGGTCGTCGAAGTCGCCTGGCTCGTGCGAGGTGGAAGAAGAGGCATGTTGGTGGGAGGCTCTAGGCGGCATGGCTGCGGCCGTGCCGTGGCCGGCCGGCGGTGTATGGTTCCGGCGATTGGACACAGGTGGAGGGTAGGTAGCCAAGGGCAAGAGCTTGCAAGAGTTCTTGGCTCGGATTGGCCGGATGGGCAGGAGGGGCGTCTGTTCTAAGAAGGGCGGTGCTGAAGGGTAGGTCGCGGTCCGTGTGGGTCGCAAGCCGCTGCTGAAGAGCAGAGGGGAGAGAGTGGGTGTCCAACGGCGATGTGATGCCGACAGGGGGGGAGTAAGTGGTTGGCCGTGGCGGCGTCGAGGAAGGAGGAGCGAGGAGTCGAGGTAGGAGAGGAGGAGAGGATGGGTCCTCATGGCCGTGGGTCGATTCGTCGGTTGGCCGCCTCGCAGGCTGGCCCGAGCGCCAGATGGCCGGGCAGGAGAGGTGGAATCGGGGAGCCAGAGTGAGGTGGCCCGATCTGAAGCCGTTGGGCCGCAGCGAGGCCTGGACCCTGCATCCTTCAAGGGCCGCTCTGGCGCGGGGTGGCTAGCCTGCTGGTTGCCTCAGCCATCATCAGCCCACCCAACCACCTGACCCCTTTCATCCCTGCCATCGACGCTTATCGCCACCGCCACCACCGCCACCATCATCCCCAGCCCCGCTTCCATCTCCGTCCCCTCTCCCTCCCCCCCTTGTCGCTCCCCTCACCCATCCACCATGAAACCGCTCGCCTTTGTCGCGTTGCTGGCTCTCGGCATAGCCTGCCTCGCCTCGTCCACCGCCGCCATCCCGCTCTCGCTCACCCCAAAGCCCCACCCGCTCGTCATCTGGCACGGCCTCGGCGACAGCGCCCACTCGCAGGGCATCGATGAGCTCATCTCGCAGCTCAAAGAGGCGTTCCCCGGTCTCTTTGTGCACTCGGTCAACCTCGGCGGCGACAGCGACGCAGACGACCGCAAGCAGGGCTTCTTTGGCCATGTAAACGACCAGATCCAGGTGGCGTGCGACCAGCTCGCTGCCATCCCCGAGCTCCAGGACGGCTTCGACGCAATCGGCTTCTCCCAGGGCGGCCAGTTCCTCCGCGCCTACGTGCAGAGGTGCAACACCCCGCGCGTGCGCAACCTCGTCACCTTTGGCAGCCAGCACATGGGCATCGCCGACCTGCCCGCCTGCCAGCCCACCGACCTCCTCTGCCGCCTCGCATCCACCGCCCTCCGCGGCGGCATCTACACCGACTACGCCCAGTCCCACCTCGTATCGGCCCAGTACTACCGCAACCCGACCGACCCGTCGGCGTTTGCAAACTACCTCGCCAAGAACGACTTTATCCTCGACATCAACAACGAGGGCCCCTCGGTCAACCGCACCTACGCCCGCAATCTCGCCAAGCTCGACAACTTCGTCATGCTCATGTTTGACAAGGACGTCACCGTCGAGCCAAAGCAGTCTTCCTGGTTCGCCTCGTACCCCATCCGCAACGCCTCGGATCCCGAGGAGGGCAACGGCCACCACGGCGGCGACGACGAGCCGACGCCGTTGCGCCAAAGCGTCATCTATACCGAGGACAGGATCGGGCTCAAACAGCTCGACAAGCGCGGCGGCCTCGTCATGGAGCGTGAGTGTGGCCGAGCGGCGCCTCGCCTTGTCGTGCCGTGAGCATGCCCCTTGACGCCACGAGCTCCGCTGACTCGCGACTCGTCCTCCTTCCTTTCGCTGTGCGCGGCGACAGTGTGCCACGGCGTGCACATGCAGATCGACCCGGCGTGTCAGCTCAAGGTGTTTGGCAAGTATGTCGGCACGCCGCAGCTGGCCTTTGTGCCCGACGCCGCCCGCCACACCTGGGCGCGCGTGCTCTATACGTTCGGCGGGCTGAGGTCCGAGGAGTTTGGCGGCATGCTCGCCACCAGCCTCGCCGTCAGCCTGTCGATGTGGCTGCTGCTTCGCGGCATCGTCTCCCTCGTCGCTCTCCCGGCAAAGATTGTGCAGAGGCGCAAGGAGGGCGAGGGCCGTATCCGACTCCTGTAACGTCGCCCCGTCGCGTCGCGTCCCCGGTCCGTTTCCAGACTCCCGTTCTTGCAACGATACCCGTTCCACGCCATCTTGCGATCCATGCCGCCCCGGTGTCGATCAAGCCGACTGACGGTATCGCCGTGAGAGCGTCGTTGGGGACGGTCAACACGTCTGGTTCGGACATCATTGTCGGAAGTGACAGTAGCGGCGGACAGAGCCAAGGCTGATTGGTGAGCGACGGACGAGCAGGCAGATTGCGTTTGAGACCTGTTGTCTTGTCTGCCGGACGACGCCACGTCTCTGACTGGCCCGGACTGCCCGGCAGCGTAGAGTTGCGGTGCCTCTCGACTGGCGACGTTCTGAGCGGTGAAAGGAGATGTGAGGAGGTGAAGACTGATCAGTAAAGGGTCAGACCGGATTCGCGAGCATAGGTAACACTCACACAGCGTGTATGATTCAGCTGGTGCGACGGCACGGTTGCGGCGCAGGTCATCGACAAGAGCGAGCGTCGGCTGGGCGAGTGAGGGCAGTGTCGCTCGGCCGAGGCCCGCCATTCGGCAGAGACGCGTGACGAGAGCATCGTTGAAGGTGTACTCGGCCCTCAAGATAGCTGCTATGCTTGCCTGTGTATACGCCTTGATCAGCCAATTGCCCCGGGAACTTTGACACTCGATGTTGAAGTCGTCATCGGCGGTGGCGGACGCTGGCAGAGCAGCCTGCATCGAGCGGTGCGTGCGATGGCCGATGGAGAGGCGTAGAGGATGATGTCGGGGGTAGAGACCGATGCTGAGGCCGGTGAGGGGGTCCTTGTACCCGGCGGCGAGCAAGCGCTTGATGACGACAAGGATCGCCAGCTCGGGATAAGGCTTGCCGCCGACTCGCACCCAGTCCGGCACGAGCACACCAATGACGATACAAGCGGTGAAGTCGCACTCGGTGATGAAGGTGATGTAGAGGCGAAGGCAGAGGGCGAGTGCCTCGTCGACCGCCCACGGCAATCCCTCGAAGAGCGCCGGAAAGTCAAGCTGTCCGTAGGCCTGGCACGGCTGGACGCGGTTTTGAGCATCGCGCTCGAAGATCTCAGCCAGCTCGGCCGACGACAGGGCCGAAGCGGCGTCGGCAGCCTCAGGACGAGCATCCTGGGGCTCGTCGCCATCGTCGACCAGCAGGGCGGCGTGCTCGCTGTTGACGCCCGCAAGGGCTGCGAAGGCGGCAGGCTGCATCTCGTGGCGGGGTGGCGTTGTTCGGAGCAGAGTCTCAGCCTCGGCCGGCAGCTGCGCTGTTGTTCCGTCCACGTAGGCGGCGATCGTCTGGAGAACAGCGATCGAGTCGCTGTTGTTGCCGCTCGAGAAGGCTCCGGTGCTGCTGAAGACGTCGAGGGGATACAACAGCCACATCAGCTTGTCGATGAAGTCGAGCAGAGGGCGAAATCCCTCCTGACGGTTGAGGTGGATCGCCAGGAGACAGAGGCGCGCCGTCGCGGCCGAATGGGTCAACTTGGCCATGTTGAGCCAGTTGGGCACGATGCTGATGTTGTCGGCCTCGTGCCTCTTCCGCACGGTTGCGCCATCTTGCACCTCGTAGCAGGCGCCGAGGTCGATAGCAGGTCCGATCGCGCTGATGGTCCCAGAGATGTTGGCAAAGATCGCCTCCATGGGGCCGACGGCCAGAAGATCTCTGTACACCTCGAGCTGTTCCAGTCCGGCTGGCAGCGGGCCATTCGGGCGCTTGATGTAGCTGATCACATCGTCGCCCCTCACAGTGAGAGGCATATCCAGCGACGTGGCGACCTTGGGCGCTGCGAGGACGTCGTAGACCGTGAGCGCCGAGGGCCTCCCGGCGTACCTTTCGTCGTACCGGTTGATGTCGGGCAGACGGGTGGCTCGAATATCTTCCTCTGAGAAGCGAGTGGTCCAGCGATAGACGGTCGCCTTAGCCGAGAACTCGAACGCCGTGCCCGGATTGGCCGAGGGCGCCTTGACGTTGCGGCCGACCTCGCCATACTTGTCGCGGGCGGCGTCCTCGATGGCCTTTTTCCAAGCGACGAGAAGCCCAGCGCCACCGTCCTCGTGCCAGGTGTCGCTGTGTTCTGCCAGGAGCCGCTGAAAGGACAGAAGAGCCTTGTTGAGCAGGTCGGCATCTCCCGACCTGAAGCTGTGTTTCTGGTGCGGGTGGTCGTCGACGCCTTTGATGTAGAGGAGCAACTCGCCGTCTGAGCCGTAGTAGATGGCTGGGTACGGCGGCGGCGGAACGATCACGTCCTGAGCTCTGACCGTACGGAAGAGGAAGTCGAGGAGGTCGGACCGTGTCTGGATGTCGGGTCGCATCGCCACCTCCTCGAAGACTGCGCGGACGTCGTCGTTGATCCTCGAGGTATGTACCCTGATCGCGAAGGTGACGCGGTTCTGGATCCTCAACGTATTGTCGATGAGCCTGGTGCCTTCCGCCAGATAGACGCCGCGAAAGACGCGGGCCAGACGCTGGTACACCGGCACGAGGCTGCGATGCGTGGCCACGCGCTCGTTGCGGCCCAGGGCGATGCGATCAGTCTCGAACACCAAAGCGATGCGGGGGATCAGGGTGTACGGCGTCGAGAGGCGACAGCCAGCTGCGATCATGGCAGCGATCAGATCTTCTTTGGTGACCTCGTCCTCGACCGTCGCCAGGTGAGGGGCAAGCACCTCGATGTGGGCCTTGATGGCGTTCACCACAGCGCGGCCCGAGACGTCATTGGGGTCTCGCCAAGGCATGGTCCAGTCCAGAACCGCCTGGACATCCGCCTCGCTGAATGCGATGCTGATCTTGGTCTCGTAAGGGATGTCCGGGATGACGCCGGGATCTGAGCTGCGCACACATCTGCACCAGAATGACGCCTTTCTGAAAGGGGCGCCAACTGGGCTCCCTGCGTAAAGCGCGACGATACGAACGTCGTACAGCAGCCTGCGATGCGTCATTGGTGTGTGGTGTGTGCGGGAATGTTGGAAGGAGGGCGGACGGTGAGGAACAGAAGGCTGTGGCAAAGTCGAGGAATGGTGGGATGGTGGCGGTTCGAATCAAGACGACTTTGCCACTCAACTCATCTCCTCTTATCCTCGTTGCTCGTTGAAGAACCGCATGCGTGAGCTGTGTCGGCGGAGGCCGGATGAGAAGCTGTGCGGCGACATCCTGACCTGGCCAGACGCTTCCATCTGCTCTTGATTGTCGACAGCTGGCTAAGCTGCTGATAACACTTTCTGCCCAGCATCGGATTAGCCGTAGGATACCGGTTCACATAGCAATCGCTTAGCCTGGCGTGGTGTTTCGCATCTTGATTGGTTCTGGCCAAGCCTCGGAGCGGCGATGACGGACTGCTCGTCATTGCCAGCAGCTCACTGACACGGTGCTGTTTCCTGGCCGCCACATGTGTCGCACGCTCTTTGGAGGACGATGGTCTGGCGGCCCATCCTCTGGTCGCAATTGCTGAAACGAATAGGCACGGACGACGCTGCCAACATGGGCTCGAGGCTTTCTTGGACACGCCAGCTCGAGTGTGATTGGTACCTTTGGCATTGTTTGCCGAGCACACCAAGCAGACGGCGTCGCATCGGCCTGTAGAAGGTGGTCAGGCTCCTCGGCGAACGACCGATAGGCCACACAGAAGGCCGGCGGTCGAGACCGGAAGCAACGCGTGGAGCCGTCAGCATCTCGCTTACTCTTCTCCGAGCACCGGCCAAGACAGGCTCGAGGTCAGGCTCACCACTTGGCGCGTGAAGTTGCATGGTATTTGGGCCTGAAGGAGCGCCTCGGTGAGGACGCGACGGCTTGATGCTCTCTACTGCGAGGCTTGGGTTCGGCCAGTTCGATCTATCCTGCTTGCTATTCGCTTGTTGACGGCCACGGGCACAAGCAACACACGGGCAGAACCGAAGCTGGACCGCATGGCTGTGTAGGATTGTTCTAGGCCCGCATCGGGAGTACCGTGGCGAAGCTGATAGGATGCGCTTCGGCTAGGGCCGAGCGGTGGGGGTGTCGGAAAAGCCGACATCCCTAGCCAGAGCGGTCGAAGGCCTCCCCGAAACCCACTCAGGTTGGGCGGCAGGTTGGCAGCATGGTTCGCCTTCCGGTCGGACCAAAACGCGGCCAGCAAGGTTCAGTCACGCCTAGCCTCGTCGCCGATGCTTGCCCTACGGCGCTTGAACAAGATCAGCCCATGCACCGCCGTTCTGGTCAATTCGTACGTTGCCAAATCAGGAGCACTGACGACTGTCTACGTACACTTCTTTTCGGTGAGACCTCGTAAGGTCGGGCGATGTTATTGCCGCGATGGATACGACCGTGCTGCTGAGAGTCAGGCGATGGAGCAGAAAGGACGGCGGGGCGGCGGCTGGTCGGCAGCGTCGCAAGCAGGGCGGCGTTGCTGATGGCTGTCTCATCGATACGTTGTGACGGCGAAAATGGCGGCACCGATGACTGGTTGAGGTCGGAAACGATGCTGGCCGACGATGCGGTCGTTGGCGTCGGTAGCGCCGGTGACGTGACGAAAAGTTGGTGCTTGGAGGCCAGGAGCGACACAATCCGGCAGGTGGCGCTGGAAACGACAAGGGTGGTTCGATGCGCTTTCCTGACCAGTGGCTTGGCGACGGCCACGGACAGGGCACATGCGGCGCACGGCCGAGGCCGAAGCCAGGTCATATGGCTTGGTCAGAGTGATGAGAGCTGCATCAGAAAGCGGCGCGATGGAGTCGATAGAATGCATTGTGACCCAGGGCGAGCGGTGAGAGCGTCGGAGGACCCGAAGAAAGCAGCGGGCGCCGTCAGAGTCCTGCACGAATCCTAACAGGAGCCACGATACCGAAGACGACTGAAGAAAGACATCAGCGAAGGAGTCGAAAGTAGATTGGAGGCAGGACTCAAGCAATAGACGATGATGAAGGTGAGAGGGAAAGAGCGGTGGGGCGTTGACCTGCTGAGGTTGCAGCGGAAGAAAGCCTTATAGGGGTGCGCGCCGCGCCTGGCTGGAAAATTGAGGGCGGCGCATGCGCAGGTGCAGCTGTCGGGGCCCGGTACGGTTGAGTGGGCGAAGGTTCTGCAGCGCGGCCTGTGCGCTCTCGACCCGGCCGGAAAGCGGAACAATCACCGGTGGATGCCATGACACGGCTGTGGACCAGCCAGGCCCATCTGCGGTCGTCGAGGCCGACTCTCGGGGCCAATTCAACGGCAATGGCTGTGTATACTTCGTGTCGAGCTGATCTCGTGAGATTGGGGGCCATTGCGATGCTGCGCTGCCATGCAATGCTGAACGAATGCTGTTGCGTCGTGGCGGCTCTGGTCGGCGCAGCGGGAGCCGGCCCGTGGGCGCAGCCCCACACAGCCAGGCGGCACCGCACACCTCCTCCTCTCCGAGTGCCGAATCGACAGATGCGCATCAGTACGTAGTACTTCTGAAGGGCAAGTTCTCACCCCGTTTGTGTTGGTATCAAGAGGATAGCGAGGATTCTGCCGTGTGGATGCCGGGCGTTATCCTGTGGTGGATCGATATGGCAAGCTCATGAATTTGAATCGGTGTCACGATGATCTCTATCTCTTGACATGACCGGGCGCGACTTGGACCAGCACAGCAGCAAGCGACCAGGAGGACAGAGATCCACACCGCAGTGGAGAAGGCGAAAGGAATGGACAGGACCAATGCGACGGATCGCACCGGAGGGAGGGAGCAAAGGACGAAGGCCGTGGTGGAGAGCGTGGTCGCCGTCGACGGCAGCGGAACCAGTCCGCTGACTACTGGCGTCGGCGCGTCTGGTAGACCTTCAGAGAGTTGATCGTCCAGTACGCTTCATCCAGCTTCGGCCCGCTCTTGATGTAGTCGTAGCAGCTTGAGAAACCGGTCTTGGCCGCGCAGGACTTTTCCTGGCCTTTCATGGGCGTCGACCATACGGCGCCACTGCCAGCCCACGTCCCACAAAGAGTGTTACTAAATACCGACACATGGGTCGAAAAGTAGCGTTCGATATCGCAATCGGTCGCGGGCCACATTGCCTGGGGCTTTCCCCACTTCTTGGGGTCGGGGGATCCTTGGGTGATGTCCTGGGGGATCTTTCCTCTTGGGAAGAAGAACATGCTGATTCCCTCGTGTTGGTCCCAGAAGAGGGCGTGGACGCCGCCGTTGTTCTTGTTGTACTCGACGCCAAAGTCGCCGCGGGTGTTTGAGGCGACGCCGCAGCCCTTGTTGTCGGTCTCGAGCGAGGCGCAGTTGGTGGCGATGCCGCTGGTCTCTGCGAGCTTGCCGACCATGTCGAGCTCGTGCTTGAGGATGTTGCAGCCGCTGGTCGAGTGGATCGAGTAGGTGTTGAGGCTAAAGTCGTGGACGCCCTCGATGATGTCGATCTCGCCGCCGTTGGGCCAGCCGCCGGCGGGGTCCTCGGGGGTGGACCACCAGGCGGGCCAGACGCCGCAGCCGGTGGGCATGTGCTCGGCGTCGAGGATAAAGAGGCCCGTGGTGAAGCTGTCCTCGGTCGAGATGCGCACCGACTTGGCGTGGTCGCCCTGCGGGTTGCCAATCTTGAGGTTGGCCTTGCCGTTGTCGTGCCACGTCAGGCCGAGCTGGTTGGCCTGGTCGCGCGACACGTAGTCGACCATGCCGTTGGTCGGGTCGTTGCCCGTAAAGAAAAACATGTCGTCAAAGAAGTTGTTGCCCGAGTACGACTTGACCAGCTTGTACGCGCTCTTGCTGTGCGACGACGACGACGACGACGACGAAGAGCTGCTCGACGACGACTCGGACTTGGAGTCCTTGGACGACGACGACGACTCGGACGACGACAACGACGAGTTCGACTCCGAGTCCTTCGACGAGCCGTCCTTGCCCTTGGACGACGTCGACGAGTGGGACTGGTTGCTGTCGCTCTTGCTCGACTGCTTGTCCTCGTGCGACTGGCTCTTGCTGTGGTGCTCCTCGTTCTTGGACGACGACTGCTGCTGCCAGCTGTCGTCGCCGCCGCCGCTGTGGGCGCGGTAGGCCTTGTGGTGCTTTCCAGTCTTGGCGGTGCACGTCTTGGCGTGGGCGCCGCGCTTCTCAAACGCGGCCTCGTCGGCCTCGTCGATGTCGACGTCGTCGGCGTCGACCGCCCTGGTGGCGTTGCCGCCGTGGGAGCGACGGCGGGCGTGGTTGCGGATCTTCTGGCCCGTAATGACGCTGCGGATGCCGCGCGTGGCGCGTCCCTGGCCCGGGGGGAACGAGAGCGCCTCGCTCGTACCAGCCGAGACGAGGGTGGTGGACGACGACAGGGCCAGGGTGGCGGCGAGCGCCGCGGCGATGGTGGTAACGGCCTTCATTACTGCAGGCGGGGCGGGCGGGGTGGGGTGTTGGAATGAAGTGTGGTGCGAGGTGGTACGGTGCGAGGTGGACTGATGCGATCCGATGCTGCGATTCCGAGTGAAGAGACAGAGGCCGAGAGAGGAGGAGAGAGAGCGATGAGGATGGAGAGGGAGGGGGGAGCGCGATGGAAGGAGAGGGGAGAGGGTAGGGGCAGAGGGGGAGGGGCAAAGGCGAGGAGGATGGCGATTGCGAGCGACGAGCGATGATATAAAGAACTGCGGACGGGGTTGACCAGCAACGAGAGCGCGCAGAACGGTGTGGAATGTGACGGGGGAGAGGGGAGAGAGAGAGAGGGACGGGGATGGGTGAGGATGGAGGTGATGGTAATGGAGAGAAGGAAAGAAGGAGCGATAGGGGATGCAATGGGGCTAAAGAATGGACGAAGGGGGTCGGTCGGTCGGTCGTCACACAAAGAGGAGCGGAGCGGCCCTCGGGGCAGGCCAAGGCGAGGGGCGCGACGACGAGCATCGTGGTGGACGATGAGGACGGACGCACGCACGCACGTATGTACGACCGCGCGTGCGTGCGTGCAGTAGGAGACGAGCTACTGTAAGGCAGGGCGAGACGAGGCGAGGCGAGGAGGCGAGCGAGCGAGCAGTCCGCGACCGACGGACAGATCGACTCGCTGTGCGATACCGGTAGGGTTGGCTTGGCAGGCATGAAGATGACCGGGGGCGAGGCGGGGGCATGGGCGAGCAACGGTCGTCGAGGTCCGGTAGCTACCGACTTTGGCACGGCGCGGCGCTGCAGTCGGGCAGGAGACGACGCACGCCACGCCCGCCAAGGCAGGACCACGCAAGGCCAGAAGGCCCACGTCCGGCGCGGGCAGATGTGGCAAGGCAGGGCCAGGCCAAGTCGGCAGGTGTGCATCGAAGGCAGCGGGCAGGGCCAAGGCAAGGCAAGGCAGGGCAAGGCAAGGCAAGGGCAAGGAAGCCCGAAGACCTTGGACCTGCCTATGATCGATGCGCGCGCGCCTCCGTCGGTGGTCGCCCGCCGCACGACAGACGGGCGCACGTCTGCAGGCCCGCTCGCCGAGTTGGGGATTTGGTAGAGAACACTTACCTACCGTGCGGTGTTGGTGCGAGCGTGATTGATGTCGAGCCGTGTTCTTGTGTCCACTTACAGGGGCAGAGCGTTGATTGCGCGACCGTACCGTACCGTCCTTGGAACCGAATCGTGTCGACGGTACCCGATACCGGTGGGACGGACGAACGAAGAGTGCGCGCGCAGAGATGGAGCGGTGCCAAGCCAAGGCCAAAGCCAAGACCCGAGGCAAGGCCAGGCGAGGCGCAGCGCGGCGCGGCGCGGTGCGGCGGGTCTGGTTGGTTCGCCCTGCCTTTGCTTCCCGAGCGGAGGAGACAGACAGGCCAGCCAGGACAGGCGCGACCACCGAGCGCCGAGGCTTGACTTGGCTTGCTTGGCTTTTGTGGCCTGGCCGGCCTGTGCTGCCCATGCCGCCTGCCGACGCGCGTGGATGCATGCCTGCCAGGCGGCTACCGATACAGCACGGCGGGCGGCGGTTGCATGCCGACCTGTCGCTCAAAAAAGAAACTCCGAGCGCTGCAGACCCACCGAACGACCGACCGGGGGCCAGGGCGCGCTTCCTCGCCGGACCCGCCAACATCGAAGCCTTTCCCGTCCGCCCTGACCATGACCCTGACCGACCCCCGTCTTTTTTGGGCGCGCCGGTCCGCCCGCCCGCCCCCTTGCATCTTGGCATTTGGCTCTTCATCAAGACCCATCGCGATTCGATCCCTCCTCGTCCCGACTCTATCGGTTCACTGACATGCACATCCACATCGACAGCGAAAGCGAGAGGGAGAGAGAGGGGGGCGGATGAGATGGCGATCTGTCAATCCGGTACCGAAGTGGCTGGGGGTGTAACCAGAGGTTTGTACGCGGGCGAGAAAGGGACAAGCCAGGTCGAGGTTTCGAGGTTCGGTGCAACGGTAGGTGGTACGGTATGTACACGCGGTCGGTCGGCGCTCCGTCTCTCTCGCAACCAGACGCCGTCTTGGCAACCTTGCTTTGCACCTCCTGCCTGGTTGGGCCAACCGTCCCTGCCACGCCAGCCAGGCCTATGCGTCCGCCCGTCCGTCCGCCTGTGGCTGGTTCAGGAACTCCCCCTTGTCTGGGCCACAGGAACCTCGAGGGCCTGTCTTGTCTGTCCTCCTCCTTTGTCGTCGTCTTGGCATTCGATCATCCTCGTGTAACACTTAGGTGTCTGGACCGTGTTGCAGCCACGCACGCACGCACGCACGCACGCACGCGCCTCATTTTGGGCTTGACAACGTCCGAGGATTGGACAGAGGAGAGGGCCTTCATAAAGGTTGTCAACGGACTGTCACCCCCAGGACAGGCCAGGGCCAGGGGCAGGGCGGGAACCACATGGTCTCGATTCGGGGGCGGATCGACGTCCTTGGCGCAATCAAATAACCCTTCACTTACCTGTCCGTTCCATGCCGCGCCGTGCCATGCCAGGCTGCCACGCCAAGCCAAGCCAGCTCGGATCTTCGAGAGGAAAAACCGGCCGGCGCAACAAACACACCGAGCACAGGCGGGTAAAGGCAGTGATGATGGAGCAAGGACCGAGGACCGGATAGGCAGGCACCGGATAGAAGGTAAAGGCGGCCATGGCCGGGTCGGCCGGCCGGCCTGGGGAGGAAAGCGAGGATGGAAAGAGGATCGGCGCTGCCCCTCGGAGCGGTACGTACGTACAGAGTGCCTCCTGTCATCGCACCGGCTGTAGGTAGGTCGTCAGAGCAGCCCGTTCTCCTCGAGCATCTCGCGGTACACTGCGCACTGGACACGTTCTAGCTCCAGGTCCCTATGCAGCTTCCTAGACGGCGCAGGCAGGCAGGCAGGCAGGTACAATAAAAGCGAAGAAAGGGGCAAGGTACGCGTCAGTCGATTGTCGTTACGGCAGCAGCACCTGCTTGCTTGCCACACCCATCCATACCCAAAGCAACGCCAGCAACGGCACCGCGCATCGCACTCACTTGTTGGCCACGCTGACCTCGTTGCGCTGGCGCTTGACGCGCTTGATTTCGTCGCGCAGCCGCGCCAGCTCGTCGCTCTCGGGCCGCTGCGTGTCGTCGTACATGGCGTCGAGCTCCTCGTTGAACGCCTTGTGCAGCTCCGTGTTCTCCATCCGCCCGTCGGTCTCGAGCGTCGTCAACAGGTCGCACTTGCGCTGCAGCGTCGCCACCTGCGCTCGCAGCGACGATAGCTCCGTCGCACTCGCACTCGCTGCGGTCGCGGCGCCGGTGCTGCTGCTGCTGCTGCTGCTGCCTGCCGGAGGGGGAGGATGGACAAGCAGGCGCTCGTTCATCCGCATCGAAGACGATAGCCGCGCCTCGAGGTCCGCAATCAGCGTCAGCAGCCGGTCGACCGAGCTCGTGTGCACATCGGTGATCGTCTGCGCATGTGCAACCCAGGGCCAGTTAAACAAAGGGGAATTGTCAGCGACGTCCGGCACGTCGGCATCAACAAAGGCCACTCGGCAGCCACTCACATTGAGGTCCGCCTCCTGCATCGCGCCGACCCGGACAGATCGGCGCATCGACGCCGTCCCCGCCTCGGCACCGCCAACATTCTCCACCTTGAGCCGCTTGACCTCGTCCCTGATGGACCGCACCGAGTCCTCGACTGCACGCGCTCGCTTCCGCGCCTCTTCGACGCCCCGCTGCCGCGACACCGACGACGTCGACCGCTTCGGTATCACCTGCTCGCCCGGCTTCTGCGGTGATGCGGGCGGCATCACGACTGCATCACCGCCACCGTGCCCGCGCTCCGTCGAGGTTTCGCTCTCGGATAGCGAGGGCCGTCCGGGCGCCTCGCCGTTCGCGGCCGGATCAGCGTTGAGCTCCTCTGCATCGGAGGCAGCTTCGGCGCCGTCGATCCGCAGCGAGTCCCTCTTGGTCGCCGGCCGGGAGGCCGTCGGCGTGGCGTCGTTGGCCGACGGCAACCCTCGAGGCCCAGATGGCGTCCGCGTGTGGGCAGGCGTGCTGACGCCGAGCCGCTCCTCGTCTTCGCTCTCGTCCTCTCGCGGCGGCGGCTTGCGCCGTATATTGAGCGGAGTGGTTGCCCGTACCGGCCCGGCATGACCTGCGCTCGAGCTGGACCTCGCGTGCCGATGAGCCGCGACCGCCGATGACCCTTGCGTGCTGGTGCTGGGCTCGCGGCTGACATCGGCGCGGTAGGCGACATCCTCGGCGTCGGCCAGAGCCAGGGGCGACCGAATCGAAGCCGAAAAGCTCTCCGTCTTGGCCCTCTGATGACCTCCGCCGCCTAACCGGCTCGATCGGAGATGACCCTGCTGCGAAGACGGCGTGGCGGGGCTGCCGTGCACATCGAGGTGGCCGTTCGCAGTCGAGATATAGCCTGGCTCCGGCGTAGGCCCGCGCGTCCGCGACATGCGCTCGGGCGGCCCGCGGCTTGGACTGCGTTCCGAGGCGGCCATGCTCGGTGGGCCCACCGACGACGACCGCCGCTTCTTCATCAGCCTGCGCGGAGAGCCGAGGAAGCCTCCGCCGCTGCCGCCGCTCGATTCGGGAGAGTCGACGGCAAGGCCGGCCCGGTGGTTTCGGCTGATGCTGCCGTCGTTGCCGCCCGTCATGATGCTCTCAAGCATGCCGGCGCGGCTGCTGACGCTGGTGGCGTTGGTGGAAAACGTCATGGCGCGGCTCGAAGTCGAAGGCGCATCGCTGCTGCTGTACGCCGAGGTGCTCTTGGAGGCGTTGCTCTTGGTGCGGCGCGCTGGCGAGCCAAAGACGTCGGACGCTCCTGACCCGCCTCCTCCTGCGCTGCCGCCAAACAGCAGCGACCGGCCAAACTGCTCCAGGCGGCCGGTACGATGGTGTTGATTGCCCGACGACGACGGCGTCGCCGGCTGCGACAGGGTATGCACCCGCATCTGGCCGCCCATCAGCCTGGCAGTCTCGGCGGCCAGCTGCGCCATCCGGAGCGGCAGGTCGCTGCACTGCACCACTGTCACCTCCGATGAGCGCTCCGGGTCCACCAGCTTCGACCGCGTCGACATCTGGCACTCGCCGTAGGCGTCGTCGACGTGGACCACCTCGAGTGCAGCGTGGGCGGGCGCCAGTTCCGGTCCCAGCGGCAGCGGATCGGCCTCGCGCTGGAAGTTGACGTGTAGCGCGAGCGGCGCCTTGTGCGGCTCCGTCAGGTACGACCGCCGCGTGTACACATTCCAGTAGACGACACGCCGCGCCTCGGCTTCGCGCGCGGCCAGCGCATCCAGGCCGTGGTCGGCCGCAGCGTCCAAGTCGGGCCGGTCCTGTTGCTGCTGGTGGGGTCGCATGGCCGGCAACACCTGGCACCGCACGTGGCTGCGGTGCTCCTTGGCCTTGAAGAGCGCCTTGGCTCGCCACAGGCTCTCGAGGAAGCGGGTCTTTTCCAGCCGCGCCGCCATGTCGCTGCCACCACCGCTTTCAAAGCCACGCGGCGTGCCCCGTCCGTTGCTGCCGGCAGCGGCGGCCGAGGCCGTGTCGACGGTGACGTACTGACGCACGGGCCGGCCGGTCCACCGGTCGCCAGACACGAGGCTCGGCGGCCGCAGGAAGTTGAGCTGGAAGTCGGACCCGCCCAGGTCGAGCGCCTCGAGGTCGAGGATGTCGACGACGCCGCGGAAGCTGAGGTCGCCCTTGCGGCTGGTGCCGAGCAGTGCGCTAGCACCTCCACCGCCGCTCCCGCCGCCGCTGCCGCTGCTGCGCTCGGTGAACGTCTTCATCTGGTCCGCCAGCCGGTTGAGGTCGTCGAGCCCGACGGCCTTGCGCCCGCAGATCGACGAGCTGGCGCGCTTGGCGATGGCGAGCCGGTCGTCGAAGAGGAAGAGGGTGCAGTGGATCGTCTTGCCGCCCGCCGCTGCCGGTGCCGCTGGCGTTCCGGTGGACGAGGTGGCGCCGCCCATGGCCGCGAGCGCCTCGAGGGGAAAGTCGTCGACGTCGACGCAGTCGAGAAACTGGCGGTGGACGCTGATGAGGCCGGCGGGGAAGTCGTCGACGTTGCGGCTGAAGCTCCACAGGACGGCGGCGCGCTTGGTCTTGTCGTCGGCCTCGCAGCTGGCGATGCGGCTGGCGAGGACGACGGCGTCCTCGAGGCGACCGCGCTGCGGGTCGCGCGGGCCCATGTGCTTGATGATGCCGTCGAGGAGGAGCTTGTAGCGCGGGATGCGCTGCACGGGCTCCATGAGGAGGTCGCGGATGCCGACATTGCCGAGGCCGACCATGGCGTACTTTGTGCGGTCGGCAAACTCTTGAAAGCCGCGGTGCTTTGCGAGTGTGCGCTCGATGTGCTTTGCCTTTTCAAAGTTGGCGAGGTAGTCGGTGTAGCAGCTGAAGCAGCTCATGTGGCGGTAGACGACGTCGCCGAGGCCTGCGCGGATGGCGTCGGGCCCGGATGCTGCGAGGGCGTCGAGGTCGTTGAGAAATGCCTGGTTTGCGCCGACGATCTCTCCGATGTTGCCAAAGAGGCGCTGTGCCTCGTAGATGGGGATGATGGCCGTGTCGCGGTCCTTTGCGAGCCTGCGGAGGGGCACGGCGTACTTTTGGTGGAGTGCCTCGATGCGGCGGATGTAGCTGCGCTCGGTGTCGATGAGCTCCTGTACGCGGCCCTGGAAGCGGGCGGGGTCGAACTGGGTCGCCGAGTCTGGGCGGGGCTGTTGGTCGATGGCGGGCGAGATGGCGTTGATGCTGGATCCGCTGCCGGACCTGGGCATGGCGTCGGGGGATCCGGTGGGGTCATCGTCGTCGGTGACGCCGGTGTGGTCTACGACGACGCTTCCGAGCCAGGGGAGGAGTACGCCTGGCTGGTCCTGGTCGATCGAGGCCGAGGTGGACTGTGCCTCGAGGACGACGTCGTAGAAGTAGGCCTTGGAGAGGCTCTCGCTGACGGCGGAGCTGCCGATGCGGTAGTCGATGCGACTGGATGCGGTGGGAGTGGGGTGCGATGCGCTGGTGGTGGTGCCGCGGCGGTGGTAGGACGAGGGAGTGGCGGAGGATGGCGTGTCGAACGAGGGCGTGTGTGGCCTGCCCTGGGAGGAAGCGGGTCGTTGGGGCGATGGGAACTGGACGGATCCGCTGCCGATGCCGGCAAAGGGTGGACGGGATAGAGCGCGAGGCGGCATGGTGAGGCAGGGCCCTGCCAGCAGGGCAGCGGGGCGGTGGTATCGGAGAGGGTGATTGGCCGAAGTCGAAGCTTATGCTGCTACACTGGTGGGCTTGCGTGACCGTCTTGCGTCTGCGCCGCGCTGCAGCTAGTGGTAGGGGTCTAGGATCGAGGCCGCAGTGGGCCGCTCTAGGAGAAGGACGGCATGCGATATGGCCGGATGATGGAGGCAGGGGTCAGAGGTCGAACCAGCGAGGAGATGGAGAGGGAGAAGGTGAAGAAGAGAGAGAGAGAGAGAGCCCGGACCAGGTGGAGGGAGGGGGCCAGCGCAAACGTTGGGCGTCCCCCATCCGTCGGCGCAACTCCGTCCAACACCACAACACGCTCCCCTGCCGCTTTGGCCTGCCTCGACTCTGGGTTGCATTCAACGCGTCCCCCCGTCGCGCAAGGCTTTGTATTCAGAATCGCCCTGGCCTAACTAATTCAAATCCCAAAGGGCGGGCGGCAGCTCGCATTTTCACCCGCAATTCCACGCACCATTTCAAACAGACTCACAGCCACCGCCGCCACCACCACCTCGACCACCCCTCGCCACCTCCCATCCTCGCACCGGCTCGTTTGACAAGACTGCATCGTGTCGTGCGATGCCGTCACGCTCCCCTCAATCCATGCACACCGCGACAGACACAAAGAGACGTGGCAGGGGGTATGTTTGCAATCAAGAGGCACAAGCTAGGTAGTGTCCAAAAAAGGGAGGAGGGCGACGAGGGCAGCTAGGACGACCAGAGGCGGCGGGGCAGGCGGACTACGCCACCACCTTTGCCTTTTTGCTCGTCGACGAGCTGGTAAAGCTGCAATAGGACAAATTCAAGCGCAAAAGGGGGACAGAGGGAGAGAGAGAGAGAGAGAGAGAGACCGACGGGCAACGACAAGAAAGCGGCAGCGGTCAGCGCCCCGTGGCTTGGTCTACGGCTAGAGCCAGTGCGACGCCAAGGCCAGGCCCAGCAGCGCCTCGAGCCCCAGGAGGGCGTGGAGGGAAAGACGGACTACGTACTGCCTCTTTGCGTCGCTGGCGCTGCCCTTTGGCAGGCCGCGCGGCGCCGCGAGCGAGGTGCGCCGTTTGGCGTCGCGCAGCACCCCGAGCGTCTGGGCATTGGCCGGCGTCGTGGCGTTGCCGTCGAGCTGGAGGATGCGGTAGTCGTTCTGCTCGGCCGTCTGCATCACGTTGAAGTAGGTGACGCTCAGCAGGTTGGGCAGCGCCCGCCGCACCTCGTTGGAGCACACCATCTGCAGCCACGCCAGGTGCGCATCCAGGTTGGCGTCGAGGTGCAGGCCCGTCTCGCCAATCGCAAACTTGATCCGGCCCCCAGACGTGTACTTGTCGTGGAAGGGCTTGAACTGCGAGATGAAAAACTCGACATTGGCATTGGCCAGCTTGTCCGGGTAGAAGTCGAGCCCGACCAGGTCCACGTACTGCAGGTCGGGCGCGTACCGGTCATACGTGGCCAGGTCGGCCCACGAGGGCGAGTACCACATCTTGACCTTGGGAGCCGCCGCGCGGCACGCCTTGGCCACCGTCGCAAACGCCTCCTTGTACGCCCCCACGCCCTGGTCGGCGCCGCCCTCGTACCGCCCCTCCTGGACGTACCAGTTGACCTCGTGGCCGAAGCGCAGCCGCACCTCGACGCCCGAGTCGGTGAAGCGCTTCATGACGTTGCAGATCTCGACGGCGCGCGAGTTGTCCTGCGCCGTCAGCCCCGCCCAGCCCCCGACGGGCATCACGGCCGCCTCGAGGATGGCGCCAGACTGCACAATGTCGTTCATCTGCCACAGCAGCTGGTTGCCGTTGAACGGCTGGTCCGGGTAGGTCTGCGCGTACCACCCGTACGTGGCCGCCTTGCCCGCCGCCGGTCCCAGCAGCGTGTTGAGCTGCGACATCGAGCTCGCGCCGTAGTTGGACGGCACGAACCCGAGCGGCAGGCCGCCGAGCATCAGAGACGGGACGATGGGGAGCTTCATCGGGTTTGTGTCGGGGTCCGCGTTGGTGTTGGTGTTGGTGTCGGTGTCGGTGTCGCGGCGGACTCGGTGGTAGAGGTGGGAGAGCGGGTAGGAGGGATCCGCTTGGGACAGGGAAGGTGGGGTGGAGGGAGGGTGGGGTGCTGATATCGACACCATCTTGGGCGATGAGGGCGAGTGCTTCTTATAGCCTTGGCTGGGGTGTCGACGAAGACGACGAGTATGTTGCGATACGGCGATGTCCTCCGGGACTAGCTCTGCGTAGCTTGGCCGGCGCTTGTGCCTGCTGGCTCGGGTGCTTGACGAGGTCGACGGGGCGCGCGGACCAGTGGTGGCGACGGCGGTGGCGGCGAGGCTTGCTCGGCTGCTTGCCGATACGTGGCTTGACAGCGCCGGGAAGCGAAGCGCAAGTCGAGCGGAAGGCGGGGGCCGGCTGATGACGGCGGCGGTACGGCGAACCGGGCGGAATCGATTCCCGAGACGAGACAGAGGCGAGATCAGGCTGGGACGTGACCGGGCTGGGCGCAATCGAGTGTGCTTGCAGCTTGCTTGACGTTGTCGATCCTCCTCCTTGAAGATGATTCCTTTGTGACGTGTGTAGCCCGTGAGACAATGCGAGCGCCAGGAGCACGATGATGCCAACGTCAAGGAGAGGGAGGGCGGTCTTGGACCGGCGAAGGCGGGCGAGGAGCGGGAAGATGTCAGAAAGAGGGAGCCGGACGGCGATGCGAGACCTTGGCTGATTGCGGTACCAAAGGAGTTGGCCGTTCCACACCGTCGACAGCCGGGCAGTCTTCTTTAAGACGGTGACTGCGAGCCCGGAGCGGGGAAGGGTAAGACGCTGTTGTTGATCTCGAGGCTGGAACTCGTATCACCGGGTTGTCTGGGCGTCGAGCGGCGTGTCTTGTTTGGGCTGGGCTGAACGTAGGTCCCCGTGGTGGGCGCGCTCAGACCTGGCCTCGACCGAGGTAGCGATCTGGCCCGCCCGCAAGCTAGGGGCAAGCGCCCGAGGCCAAGGAAGAAGGCGGTTGCAGGCAGGTAGAGCGGCGACTCAGGCAGGCAGAGAGGCACGGCGTTCGTGGTCGTCGAGGCCCTGCCGCGCTGAGACCGCCAAGGCCTGTGAGACTGATTGCGACGATCTCTAGGCTAGACGCTCCGCAGGACAGCGAGGGTAGAGGCAGTAGGCACCATGCAGAGCCGGGCAGGCAAGAGGCAGCGCGGGCCAAGTCCTGTACGGGTGCACCCGTTGAGCATGCGGTCGGTGAGGGTCTCGGCAGAAGCTGAGTTGACCGAGCGACACCTTGTTTTGCTGCTCCGACATCGTCCATGAGACCAGGGCCTGGACGAGGAGGAGGGGCAGGAGAGGGATGGGTGAAGGGGACCGAGGGAGATGGACGACGAGAGGCAAGGCGGGGAGAGGGACCGCGGGGCGAATTTGGCCTGGCCTGGCGCTGGGCCTGCAGTGTCTGACAGCCAGCGCAGCGCAGCGCAGCGCAGCCCTGGACGCGTCTCGGTCGTCGTCTGCATGCGTTCAACCTCCGTCGCCGAGGCGCATTATTCTTTCCCTCCATCTCCATTTCCATCGCTCCCCTCCTCGTCTGCTCTTTGCGCCGGAGATGCAGACGCTGTCTTTGGCAGAGACAGGGCACCAGACCCACTCTCTCCCTCTCTTTCATCCACGAGTCTGGCACGATGCCCAAAAGAGGGCTCTTGGGGCGCGGTCGCTGAAACAGGGCTTTGGGCCGCTTCACACCTGGCCCCCCCTCCCTTGTCCTGCGCTGACCTTCGTCGAATCGGACCGCTCTGCGCCCCTACCTCAATCACGAGGGGCCGGAACACGTGCTACCCTCCGTTGTGGCGTCTTCGTCGTCGATGAATGAAAGCCGGACTTGAACATGACAAAAGTGGCGTTTCGGGTGGCGTCCTTCTTGCCTCCCTCTCCGCCGATCGTCGAGCTGCAAGGTGCGTATCAGCAGCTCCGGCGAGGCTATCGTCGTGTGATGACCATGTCGATAGGCGAAGGCCTCGTAGGCAAATGAGACGAGGCTCCTCGAAGAATGGGGGGACGAGGCCCCAGTGCGTGCGACTGTCCGTTCTTTCGTGACCTCAGTTGGGGCGTGCAAGGTTAGAATACAGCGGCAGGCTCCAGGACCGCGCGGCAGGAAGGCATTGGGGCTGGGACAGAGGGCGGAAGGACGACGAGGGCAAAGGTCCGTAACGGAGCGAAGCGGGGTCCGAGAACGGAATGGAAAGGACAAGATGGACAAGAGGAGCCATGACGGTCCGAGTCGAGGGGCAGAGAGGAAGAGAGTGTGGTGGCGCCACGCGATGACGACAACGGCGGCGGCGGCGAGATAGTAATAGGAATACAACGGCGAGCGGGAGATTGCTAGGACGAAGGGGTAAAGTAAGTGGGGGTATGGGGGACGGTGCATGATGGAAGACAAGAGACACAGAAGCGAAGATGGAAGGGCGATGGCGAGGGCGGCCTGTGTTCAGGTGCCGATGACGGTGGCCGTCGTGGGCGTGGCCTTGACGGCGAGGAGCGATGCCAGGCTCGGTTTGCGGCTGGTTGAAGCGCCGCCGCCACTGCTGCCGTGCGATTTGCCAGCGGATCGGTCAGCAGAGGCCTGCTGGCCGGCTGCGGTGGTGGCCGTAGCCGGGACGACAGGCGAAGCCCAGGGCGTCCAGGTGCGCCAGCCCGTGCTCGGCGATTCGGTTGGCGCTTGCAAGTCGGTGCTGCTGGGCTCGGTGGTGGCGCCGGTCGTCGCATCGCCCTCGCTCGGCACCGATGCTGTCGGCGCGATGCCCTTGAATGCCGCAAAGCTGGGCAGGCCCAAGCCGATGGAGAGACGCTTCGACTCGGTTGTTGCGCCCGTGCCCGATGTTGCCGCGATGGAGGAGCTCGACGCATCGGCCGCAGCACCGGCTGCACTGCTGGACGACATCTCGTTGAGCCTCTGCAGGGCACGCAGCGCACCGACGCTGCCGCCGCCCGCGGCACTGCCTCCTGTTTCGGCGGCGCGCCAGACGACGTCCTCGGCTTTGAGTTGCGCTGCGACGCTCTGCCGTTCGCGGTCCGACGACGATGCGCCGCCAAACGACGACCGCTTTGTGATGCTATAGCGGCGTGGCATCGAGGTGCCCGGCCGAGGCGAGGTGGTGCTGGCCTCGCTAATGTCGGCGTCGTCGCAGTCGTCGTGGCCCGACAGGCTTGCAGAAGGATCATGGGCGGAAGAGGAAGCCACCAGCGCGGCGTACGTCGAACCGCTCTCAAAATCACCGCTGCCACTCGGCAGGCCGGCCGTCGTTGTCCGTGATCGACGGGCCCTCGAAGCGGCTGACGACGATGATGGTGGCTCTGCGCTGAAGCCAAAGTCGTCGGCCAGCGTGCCTTTCTGCACAGAGGCCGTGGCCGCGGGTGCGACTGGCGCAGTGACCAGGCGCGACAGGGACGAGGCAGCAGCGCTGCCCCGGAACAGGCTGCGGCTAGCACTCGTCTCGTAGTTGCTGACGGCCCGCTTCTGCGTTGGGGTAGCGGCTGCAGCCCTGGCGGAAGCCCGGATGGTCCCTGTCGACGAGGACGACGTAAGGCGCGAGGTGGTCGTGAGCGAGGTGCCGATGGGCTCTTCCTCGGCCTCGACGAGAGCCCCGCTCGAGTCGTTCGCATCGCCAGGCTGGCTGCTCGATGCGAACGAATTGCGGCGCGAGGATGAGGGCGAATCTCGAGAGCGCGAGCCGAGCTGCGACGAGGGACGGGCATCCTGGCGCGAGGCGTGCTCGACGATGCTGGCGAGCGACGAGCCGCGGCTGCTCCTCTTGCGCATCGCGGACGGTGGGCGGGACGAAGGAGCGGCACCGTCTACCGGCGCGGAGAGGTCCGTCGGAGCAGCGCTCGTCTTGTCGTGCGAGGTCGATGCCTTGGGAGCAGAGCTGACATCGAGGAAGGCGAAGTCGGAGAGCGAGAACGTCCGCCGCGACGACGGCGACGCATTGTTGGACGCAGAATGGCCTTCGCCGACGCTGAGATGGCCATCGGCAGAAACCGCACGCAGCCGTCCAATGCTACTACTTGCGGTCCCGCTCGAGCTGCCGCTTACACCGCCGCTCTCACCATCACCGGCGCCGCGGCTCGACGTCGGGCTAGACCTGGCCGAATCGAGCAGCATCTTTTCTAGCCGCTTGGCCGCCGTCTTGCCGATTGTGGCATCGCGATCCTGTGCCTCAACGATCCCGACGCCGACATCGGCCTTGGCCTTGCCCGACGAGGTGGATGCCAACGTCTCCAGTGAGGGCAGCGATGCGAGGCCGGCCTGATTGGCCCCCGCCGTCTGCGCGCGGGCGAGAGTGTAGGGGCGGGTAGCCGAGCCGCTGGCCAGCAGGTCGCGCAGCTCGTCGGACTTGGCGCCGACAAAGTCGGTCATCTGCTCGACGGCGTGAAGCTGACGGCGTACGCTGCGCTCGCGTCGGTCGAGGCCGATGTCGATGCTCGCCTCGATGGCGCGCAGCTGGGCAAACTTGGCGCGTGAGTTGAGCGTGGAGAGAAGTAGGTTGTTGGACACCTCGAGCGCACGCATCGTCTGCGCGATCAGCGCATCAAGGCGTGGGTCTGCCTCGTCCTCTTCATCGCTGTCGTCGCTGTCACAGCCATCATCGTTGCTGCGATGAACGGGAGGGGATGTGGCGGCGATCCCGGCATTGGCAGCCAGCTCGGGCTCTGCGAGGGTGGTAGTGCACGAGACTGGCGACGCTGCCGATCGAGGTCGGTTGCCGGCTAGCGAGGAGAGGCGGGCAGGGGTGTGCAGGTCGAGAAGTCTGCGGTGCGGCTGCTTTTCGGCCTCGAGCGACGTGGGACGGGTCGAGGCCGAGGAATGCGTCCGCTGGCCGTCATCGTCGTAGTCGTCATCGTCTTCGAGGTCCGCGCGGTAGTCGTCTGCGTCATCCGAGCCCTCGGCGTGCGGAGAAGCAAGAGACGAGGCACGCTGCGCCGGTTCCTCTGGTCGCAGGGGCGAAAAGGGAAAGGTGTCGTCGGGCAGGTCGGCGGCGAGGGTGCAGGTGGACCAGCGTATTGGAGTGGCGTCGCGGGAGCGCAGCCTAGACTTTGGGCTGCCATCATTTTCCGCGGGTCGTATCGATGCGAGGTCGTGCTTGTTGTGGCTGCGACGGCGGCGATGCTGCAGCAGCTGGTTCTGGGCAGGTTCGTCGGCGGCAGGAGGTTCTGCCAGCGTCGTCCAGGTGTCCTGGCTGTAGACGGGGGCAGGTATGCGGGGCGGTGGTTGTTTGGTCATGGCTGCGCTGACTTGGGGCCAGAGGTGCAGCCTGGCCTCGGAAGCGCTGCGTAGACGACCGAAAGGCGGGGGTGGTCGCTGCGACTAGGTGGCCATTGTGGTTGAGAGCAGGCAGTCTGGGCGGGGAGGCGGTGCTGGTGCGAGGGATGATGTCGAGAGGCAGGTGGACGCCTCCCGAGGCCCTTGTGCTTGCGCTGCCGCGACTCTGACTTGGGTGCGAGGATGGTGGCAAGAGGGGGTGGTGGTGGTGGTCGTCGTCATCCAAAGATGAAGCAAGGCGGTCAACACTGCGGGCCAGCGGCGGCGGTGAGGCTTGTGTTGGTCTGGCCTGGCCTGGCCTGACCGGCGGGTGGGCGCAACTGGCACGACAATGCATCGGGCCGACGCAAGCCGATCCGATCGCCGCCACTCAGGGGCTGCCACGGCCACAAAGCGGCCAGGCGTCGGGGCTGCAACGCTGACCGAGTCAAGCAGACACCCGAATCGGGCATGCGCGGAAAGTTTCAGATTTTCGCCATCACAATCTTCTCCTTCGAGTCTCGGATTTGAGGCATCACCGGTTGACCCCCCGAAATGGGCAGTTTTCGAGGAGGGGCTAGGGTCACAACGGGGTCCAACCAGCCTTGCCCACCGCGGACAAAGTCTGGCCCTTCGAAAAAGTTTGATTCTTCGACTTTTTGAATTCTACTTTTGGCCTAAAAGAAGACTACTACGTGCAAAAAAAGCACTTGGGTGCACAAAAACATGATTGCTCGTTTCACCTTGCGCTGCCCGCCCGGACCTCGACCTCGACCTCGACCTTGACCTCGACCTCGACCTCGACTTCAATCGTGCCGACGCCGTCCACCATTCACCACCGTGGCCACCATCCATATGGCCGTGTCGCGAGCTCGAGTCGAACAAGCAGACTCAACCTTCTTGCAGCATGTCGAAGAGGGCGAGGGTCGTGTGGATGTACCGGCTGATGCGCCCCGTTTGAGGGCCTCTTCTCGGTAGGCTCCCGCAGTCGACCCGCTCCTGTTGACTTGCCGATCGTTCCCTAGCTCGCTGGATTGGAGCGACGAGCTCACTACGCTGCGACGTCAGACCTGCGGAGAGCGCCGCGCCATTCGAGTGCCGCTGTCTGGACGGCCCAGTCGAGCTCGTCGCACGCGTCGACTCGTTCCTTCTCCGCCACGGCCCGCTGGATATCCTCGACGACCGTGCGGAAAACGTGCTGAGACGCCATCCAGGGCTGTCGGAAGGGCAGCGATGGGAGAAAAGCCCATGTGTTTCCGGCGCAGTGAGCAAAGAGTGCCTCAGAGTCCTCGGCGGTGTCCCAGAAGGGCAGCTGTGTGCCGAGCTCTTCGCCATCCTCGGCCACGATCCTGTTGACGGCGACCTCGACGTGTCAACCCACCAGGACGGTCGCTTTCCGCCGCCCACTTAGAGGTTTGTGGATGGACTGGCAGTGTGCTCGGCTGGTCAAGCGCCTCCTTGACAAAGCCTGGTCAGACTTTGAGCTTCAACGAGGGGCGCCGCGTTGTCTTTGCTCTTGTCGACGAAACGAAGCGGTCGCGCGCGCAGCCGATGCTGCGCCCGGTGTCTTGTCAGGGCCGCTGGACGCCACCCGCCGCTGCTTTCGTCTATAGATCGCCATGTTACGAGCTGGACTGCCTCTGTCGTCCAACGATAGCCTGGGAATGTGCATGCGGCCGTCCATCGTTGTCTGCGGAGGATCACTCCTGCTGTTTCGCACGTTCCAGGATCTCCAGCCACTTCTGGGTGGCCGTCCTGATGGCCTTTTCGGAATCCTTGAAGACCGATTTGCGCGCGTTTCTGTCGATAGCTCTCTCCATCCGTGCGACGACGCTTCGCAGGATGAAGAAAGATGACCCTCAGTGGTAGCAACAGAGAGGTCTGCGGAGGACGATGCGGCCGGTGCTGTTTGGTGGCTTGTGGAGCATCATGACGACGTCTTTGCCATCCCAGAAAGGGAGCTTGGTGCCGTACTCTTCGCTATCGACCCTGGCGATCCTGGTGACGACGTACTCGAGATCCCACTGGAGTCGAAGTTCGCGAGCCTCCCTGCCCTTGTGAGTTAACCAGAGCTCGTGGTGGTAGAGGTCCAAAGCGCTCGGCAGCCCCAAGGCCTTTTTCCAAAGTAGAGCACGTCGAAACCACCGTCGACTTCGAGCCAGGTCGGCAACTGAGCTCGCACTGTGCCGGTCTGATAGGCGAAGGTGACCGGAATAGTGACAAAAAGATGGTCGCGCGGGTCTGGACGCTGGCCTCTAGGAGTAATCCGGGCTTTGAAGTCGCGCAAGACCCCCGAGTCGACGAAGGTGGCCATCGTGGCAGATTGATGCGGTCGGCACGGCGCCGAGGGTGGTCGAGAGGGCAGGAAAAGCGATTCAAAGGGAAGCGATGCGGCAGAGCCGAGTGAGAGAGGAGGTGGCAGTAGGACGGCGAGGAAATGATAGAAGCGACGAGAGAAGAGGGAAGAGGGAAGAGCAGGAAACACGACCAAGAAGATCGTGTAGGGTCGATGTGCCGCGACGAAAATGAGGTCGACGAGAGCGAGAAGCAACCATGTGGCTGACTCCCCGGCCTCTCGCCCCGTTTTCTCGGGGCACCGGGGGCGGCGGAGTGGCCAGCACATGGTCAGCGCGGCGCACGAGCTTAGCTCCAAGCCTTAAACCGTCGGGGCGTTGGCCAGCTCAAGCCCCTGCTTTTGAGACGGTGCTACCAACTAGATGGGACAATTGAAGAATGAGACAGGGCTTCTTGGGCCCGGACGAGGTCGTCCGTAAGCAAAAGTCCACCTCGCACGAACTTGGCGCGGAGCCGACACCTACTCACCATCCCGGGCAAGGTCCGGCCTTAGCGTCTTCAGCAGCTCTTGAGGCGGTCGCGCCAGGCCGCCGTGGCAGACACGAGATCCTCCTCAAACTTGGCGGAGACCATTTCCATCTCCGGCTTGTTGATCGCCTTTTCCATGCGGTGGACGATGCTCCTGAGGATCCAGGTCGAGCTGTTCCAGGGCTGCCTGGACTTAAGCCAAGGCAGCTGCACGAAGCAGTCGTCGTCGAGCTTCTGCGCACGGAGCGTGTCGAGGACGGTCCTGCGGTCCCAGTAAGGCAGCACGGTGCCGTAGCGGTCTGAGTCCTGCTCGACGACGTTGGCGATGGCGAAGTGGACGTTCCAGACAATTCCGACCTCGCGCTCCCTCTTGCGCATGCCGACGGTCGAGTACAGCTCGGGGTGGTACAGCTCGAGGCCACAGGGGAGGCCGAGGGCCTTGTGGGCGAAATAGAGGACGTCGAAGTCGGCCTTCGGTTCCAGCCAGCGGGGCAGGTGGGCGCGCACGGTGGACGAGAGCTTGTCGATGGTCACCGGGATCGTTATGATCACTTGGGCTCGCGAATGCAGCAACAGCTCGTGGTTGATCACGACGCGGAAGCCGTGGAGACAGGTGGGGTCGGTGGTGACGGTCATTGTAGGCAGCGAAAGCGGATAGGCGAAGACTGAAGGCCAGCGGTTGCACTGCGAGAAGCGAGAAAAGGCGGGTGAACGGTCTTGATGGGTGGTCGAGTGGGAATGAAGGCGTCGGTAGGAGGGCTCCGGACTGCCTGAGACACATCGAGAGTCGTCCTTTATATGTCTTTCAGGTACTGTGTAGCCGGCTGCGACGCTTGGCCTACCACAACGCTGGCAAAAACCTGCCAAGTGCCACACAGCGGGCGACGCAAAGGCTGCGTGCGAGCACTCGGTTGGTGACCCATGCGGTCGTCGACGGCTGCGCTCCTCCCGTCGAGCTGGGCATCCAGTGGCAATCGACCGCGCACGCTTTCTGCGCAGCAGCTACGCCCCGGAACGTGGAACCTTGGATGCAAACCTTCGTTCGCCGAAGAGTGTGGGCCGCGACTAAAAGCCGGGCAGCCACCGCGGCCACAACGCCGAGTGCAGGTAGGATTCGGCGAAGGCTGTCCTGCTCTCCGGCGTGCCACCCGGCTGTGGCTTACCGGTCTTGTGCGGTCCTCTCTAACGCATGTCGTACAGCTCTCGCTCTGGCCTGCCGCACCAGACTTCTCGTGAGGCGAGATACGACGCCGAAGATATCCTCACACCCGGAAATACTGGATGGGCCGACGTTGCATATCGTGGTGGGCGCAGCGCAAGAGGCGGTGCAGGCCGGTCGCGATTGGAGCTACCCGCAAGGGTACACGTGAGGTGATTTCGTAGAGCTGACTGGGAGGAGTGCTGCGTTGGCGATCAAGGAGAGTCGGACGACGGATATCGACCAAGCCTCTTGTGAACATCGAAATTGAGTGGCGTGGCCTGGCTCGAGGCCGATCGAGGAGGGACTTGGATTCGCTGTGCTGCTGCTTCGGCTTGGCTTTGAGACGCTTTGAGTTGCTGCATGTGGCTTGCTGATGCGGTGCCTTGCATCATCTGTGCTGGGAGGACCGATACGACCAGGCAGGGTCAGCGAGCGAGCGTCGAGAGTGGCGACGTCGAGGCTCGGACACGACTCACAAGGGCACGTGCTGAGTGTTGTAGCTTGGGCCAGGCTAGTTGAGGGTGGACGCCCGCTTAGATTGCCGTCTGCCATGGTCGAGCTGCAAGGCTAGCGATGGCCGAGGTCAGAGACGCTCGACTGACGGCTGCCGCCCTCGAAAAAGGTGCGCAGTTGCTGCTGGAACCTCTGCGCACAAGCCGTGAGGTTCTCGAGGTCGGGGCGCGACTGCCTTGCCAGTCCCTCTGCCCTCTTCTTGAGCTCCTGCCAAGACGGCATGGCAAGGTACAGCTCGTGCTCGACGTCGTGCAGCTGGGTCCTGAGGACGTTGGTGGCGCTCGGGTAGCTTCGACAGGCGATCGCGACGCTGCGGCTCGGGTAGGCGAGGATCCAATTCTCGACCTCCTCGCGCGAGGTGCTCGAGAACCACACGGGCCTGATGGGGACCCTGACGAGGTGCGCATGGCTCTGAGGCACGGCTTCGGCATCGCAGCCGACCGGCTTGAAGTGGAAGACGTCGAGGAGGAACTTGCCCTTGTCCAGATCGAGGTACGGGTCGAGCCATCGGGGACGATGAGCTGACAGGGTGTGGCTGGACAGATTGATCGAGACGGGCAGCAAGACCTCGATGAGGGTGATCTGGGTCGTGCCGCTGGGGGGAGGCTGCGACGGCAGGGTGACGACGGGACCCTCGGGCAGGAACATGGACATGATGGGGAGATGCGAGTCCTGGCGGCGGTGGAGGTGGTGTCTGGCTCGATGCTGCCGTGCACGTGCGGAGACAAAGAGGGGCCGCACGAATAGGTGTGGGTGAAGGCGGTCGTGGTGGAGGCGGTGGTGGTGGAAAGGAAGGACGAGGAACTGTCGCCAGCAAGCGCGCCTTTTCTGCCTGCCGCTTTTTTGGCTGCTTGCCCCTGCTGCTGAGCGGCGGCGGCCCTGCCACCTGCTCCGCACACGGGCGAACCTGGCTCCCGTTGGCCATGGCCATTTCCATGGCTCGAGAACCGTTCGGCCGCTGAACAGCCTAGGCTGACCATGGCGGCGAGGAATCGAAACAAGCCGACGCCGGGCTCTCGTCGGTCTGCGTGCTTCGCCCCTGAGCTCTGGACTGAACGCCGCTTGCCAAAGTGGCGACAAGCACGCACACACGGGCTCGTCCAAAACCCATCTTGTCATGAGCAGCAACGCTGGAATCGGCCCCCGATATGCTTTCGAGAGGAATCCCGAGCAGCCACTCTGATTGCAGTCCAGGACCGGCAAGCGTGGAGCGAGTGCAGCGGGCGCGACGACTGCGAGACAATGACGGTTTCAGGCTTTTGCGACACGGAACGAGCGTGGGAAGGATGGCTCGAAAGACTTGGAGGGATGGTGAAGGGTTGCGACAGACTGGCGAGGTCAGGAGCAACTCATCGACCGAGGTTGCTCGAAAGTCGAAAGGCTTGCCCGAGGTGCGGAAAGTCTGCTGCTCATTCGATCTCCTGTGGCCCGTCGCTGCTCGAGTGCTCGACAACATCGATCGAGGCTGCGGGGAGGTCGTCGCGAGGGACCGTTGCGCGGCGTGAAAGGCGCGAAGGAAATCGTGGTGAGGGGAACAGTGCTTGGTGACGGATATGTAGGGGTGCGAGACGCTCTGCGCAGGTAGAAAATGCGCCTAAGATGTCGAAGAGATGAGTCGAGTCAGCCGGTGTGGGTGTGCTGCGAGCGACTGCGACCTCGAGCGAACTCACCCAGGTCCGGAAAGGGCGGAAGACGGCAACACGAGCGCTGCAGGCCACCGACGCATTCCTTGCTCCGACCCTTCACTGGCCTCGGCGGGCCTTGCGCTTCATGCCGCGCACCTCGAGAAGCTCGGGCAGAATCTCGTCCTGGAACCAGGCGGCGTGGGTCTTGAGAAGATCGAGCTTTCTGCGCCACTTCCCAGCGTTACGACCCGCGAGCTCGGCGATGTGCTGCCTTGCCGGTTCGGCGAGGTAGAGCTGGTACTTGAGGCTTCCCAAGGAGGTCGAAAGAATGTCGTGGTGGTCGACATGGTGCAGCAGGGCGGCGCAGAGCTCGCGAGACTCGAACGCTTCCAGTACGACGCCCGGGTCCACACTGCTGAAGGACAGATAGGGGACAAAGACGGGCGTGATGACAATGTCGACGACCTGTTGGCTGAATGCAGTCATCTGGCCGTCGAGGCCCGAGGGACGGAACCGAAAGACGTCGATCAGGAACTCTGCCGCGTCGAGGCGGAGGCGGTGGTCGAGCCAACGAGGTAGCTGTGGAACGAGGGGCGCTTCGTTGGGCCAGCGGTCGACGGTCATAGGCACGCAGACCTCGATGATTGTCTGGCGACCCCCGTCGGGCAGATCCTTTGTGCGGTAGGCGGCGTAGAGGTCCCAGCGCTCGAGCTGTCCTGCCAACTCCATGCTGGGCGACTTTCAGAGTGATTGGTGGCGAGCTGTGTGTGCGAAAGGGCGTCGGGGCGTTGATGCTGGGAAGGGAGGCTGTGGTGGTCGGGTGCAGAGAGGCGAGAAAGGGCGAGAGGGGGCAGACAGCCAGCCTCGCCCTCTGAATTTCGGCCGCGGCCATTTTCGCAGGCGCCTCTCCTGGCTGGAGCGGCCGGCCACTCGAGCTGCCCTGCGTCCTCTGCTTGGCCCGGCTGATCACGCAAGCAATGCTGACGGTGCTGCAACCAGGGCCTCGACGGCTGCGACAACGACGTGAGCGGTGCAGGCTGTGCTGAATCGCGCCGGCCTCGGCCGTCTGTCCGACGAGAGAGTCTGCCGCCACCGGGAGAGACAGAGCATCGCCACGTACGGCTGCTCGACCGCGCCCTACGCCCCGAGGGGGCGTCGAGTGAAGGCAAGCTTGGTGAGGTGGGTGGGGACGAGCAGAGAGGTGCACTGCCATCGCCCACCGAGAGCAGGCAGGCTACATACCTTGACCAATCGCCCACCCACCTTGACCACCTCGGGGCTGACCGGAGGGCGTGCCGGCAAGCCATCGCTGCCGGCTCGGCGCATCGTCGCTGGTGGCTCCATCGACGCGGCCGCCCCCATCAACGCCCCGAAACGGCTTCGCCAGCTCGTTCAGCCGAGGAGCTTGCTCGACGGCAGCGTTGAGACGCTGCCAGGCGAACAGAGGGAGGCTGCCATGCTTCATCCGTGCTTCATCTCACGGCGAGGTATAAAACATCGCCGCTCGTCGCCCTCCCTCGACCCCTCCTCTTCATCGATCCACTCACCCTCCTTTCCCTCACCCTCTCTTCGTCCCTTTAATCCTCAGCCCGCACCAACACCGTCCTTCACTCTCGCACCCTCTCCCTCTCTTGCCACGCCCGCTCGCCAACATGAAGACCTGCACCGCCTTTTCGCTCCTCCTCTCCACGGTCCTCGTGGCTGTGTCGATCTCCGGCAACGCCGGCGTCGAGGCTCGCTCGTCCGTTCAGGGCCGAGGCCGCAGCTTCTCGAGGCGCTCCAAGAACGCCCTGGACTCTTCGGCCGACAAGACCGCCGAGCACGGCGTCGGCTGCTCTCTGATGCCGACCAACGGCGTGTGGTACCGCGGCCAGGCGGGAAACTGGGAGGAGACTGCCTCGCCCTGCGGCGAGCAGTACGATGCCCTCTCGTCGACCTCCGCTGCCGACGTTCCCGAGTGGGCCAAGGCTTACGCCAGCTTCATGAAGGCCGCCGATGGACGCATGTTCCGCATCGACCGCAAGGGACAGTGGAGCATGCTCGGCGACGATGCGTCCGAGTGGAGCCCCATCGACGCCGTCTGCAAGCGCCTCACCTCCAAGCAGTCCGACTCGAGCATCGACAAGAGGAAGGGCGACGCCCTCGACGACGGAGACGACGCCCTTGACGCCCCTGCGCTCCGTGACGAGCCCGAGAACCAGCCGCAGGTGATCAACGACAGGTACAGCCAGAAGCGCGGCGAGCAGCAGGCTGACCGCAACGACTACGTAGACCTGTACCCCGAGTCGGACGAGCTCAGCTACCCGTACTCTGGCGACTTTGAGGACCAGGATCTCACCCAGGTCACACCCGTCACCCCGGCCCACTCGCAGGTCGACAAGTCGAAGAGCAAGAGCGACGACAAGGACGGCTCCGACGCCCCCGACACCGCCTCGCCCGGCTTCCGCTTCGGCTACGGCCTGGGCATGGCCACGGGCGCCGCCAAGGATGCAGCCAAGGACCTCGGCCACAACGTCCACGAGAAGTGGGACGAGGGCAAGGACAAGGTCGACGACAAGTGGCACGAGGGCAAGGACAAGGCCAAGACCAAGGTCGAAAAGACCAAGGACTTCTTCGACTACATCGTCAAGCTCCCTGGACGCGCCAAGGACGCTGTCAAGAACGACTACAAGGCGCAGACGGGCCAGTCTGCCAAGAAGCAGGACCACGACAGCGAGTCGCAGGTCGCCAAGGGCGACGCCGACAAGGAGGTCGAGGGCGGCGCTGAGGAGAAGGTCGGGGGCGACGCCGACAAGAAGGACGAGGGCGACAAGAAGGACGACGAGAGCGACAAGAAGGTCGCCGGCGACGAGGTGCAGCAGCAGTAGTAGGGCGAGCTGAGGCTGCCGTCAGCCGCTGCAGACACCGCCTCGACGCTCGGTCCTCGCTCCGCCCTCCATTTCGTCGCCGTAGTCGGAGACTTCTTCCACGCTCTTTCCCGCTCCGTAGATGACCCGGCCTGCGCCATCTTCTCGCTCTCTCCGCTTCATCGAAGTCCGGCTCGTCTCACCACCCCCACGCTCGCTCTGCAATCAATCTCACTCACCTGAATACCTTCAATGCCAGCGGAGGCCTTCGCTCTGTGACCTTGACGGGTCTTGATGGTCTGAGGGGGCTGCGGCCTTCGAGCTCGTGGTCGTTGCTGTGGTCATCCTTCATCGTTGGTACGCCAGCTCGCCGATGTTCCGCCGCATGGTCCGAGGTGAGGGACGATGACGTCGAGATATCGCACGGTGACGGACAGCAATGAGCGCTTCTCTGCCGAATAGCGCCGAGACGGCCTGCTCCGACCGCTGTGAGGCACCGAGACTGATGCGGTTCCGGGCCGGACAGCGCCCAGCCTCTGATCTGACCTGCACGACGACTGCAAAATGGGGGCAAGACGATCTGGGCCTGCTGCTTACCTTGCTTACCTCGGTCTGCTGCGCAGAGCGCCCGTCGAGCAGGCGAATGGACATCGAGGTGGACGGATCGCGAGGCAGGATCGATGAGCGTTGCAGCAAGTTGCAAGTGCTCGAGATATGTAGCAGCAGTCGGGACGGGCGATGGGCGCGGCGTGCCGGCTTGGAAGGGAAGTGTCGCGCGACGCTGGTCGGCGGATCGATTGGCCGTCGGCAGTCGTCCGGTCACGAAGCGGACTGCAGGACCCTGGACCTTCGGCGAAATGCAAAGTGCATGGTCGAGGTGCATCTGGGTGAGCACCATGCGCAGAAACTGCCAGGTGTCACGCCGAATCGGAAGGGGAACGTCAGCTCCGCTCGGCAGCCGCGATAGTCGACGGAGCGCGATCGCAAGCCCTTCACCTGGATCGGGCGAATGCCTCGGCCAGCCGGCTCAGTGGTCTGCCAGTGGGACGGGCATTCGAAGGAGTCGACTGGGGGGTCAGTGCAAGGGAGACGAGACGGACGTGGGTGATCGCGAGCGGCGACGATGCTGGCGGCGAGTGACGATGAAAGAGGTGACCGTGAGAAAGGAAGCGAGGTCGGGGCTTGCAGCGGCCGAGTGGGATGGAAAAAGGGGGAGTGGAGCCGTCCAGCAGGGCAACCAACGCTCGCGCGTCCGTTGTCTGGTCAGCGGGAAATGCAGGGGCGCAGCAAAGCTACATAAGCGGTAAAAAGTTAATCAAATTGTTCGAGGCCAGTTTGGCCTAGCGGTTTTGCGACCGCGTTGACCGAACTGCCGCGAATTCTGGCTGGTCCGAGGCCCTGCGTTCGAGTCCGCATGCGAGGATGTCTCGTCATGATGGTGTCGACGAGGAACAACGTTTTTGCCGGCGCCCAAGGCGGCTTTTCAGCCCGCCTGCAACGCCGAGGTACCCCTCCCCAGCACTGCAGACGGGCACCGCCTCGGGGGGGTCGATTGTTGCAACAGGGCGACCCCGGCGGGACGACCCCAGCCCCGACGCCTTGAACTCCCCATTGGTCGCGCACCTGCCGCGGCTAACCCCGCATCTAGCGGGTCCGGCCGCGGGCGAGGTGGCACCGCCGAAAGAGTAGCGACGAGGCCGAGCGAAGCCCGCCCTTTTCCCGCCAGGGGCCGACGCCAAGGGGCTGACGGCGACCCCCGACCCAAATATCAAAATCCCCCCGGATCCCAAATATCAAAATCCCCCCGGATCCCAAAGCATTATAAGCCCAATCTTGACGCCCAATCTTGATGTCTGCGACGAGGGGCCGAAGAGGGGGCCTCAGGCTGGTGGTCAGCGCGCAGCGACGACGTCGTCTTGGAAGGCAGCGCGCGTGCCGGCGGTACTCACCTTTCGTCTTGCCGTCGTCGTCTTGATGTCGTCGCCTTGGTCTTGCCGTCTCGCCTTCGTCGTCTTGATGTCGTCGCCTTTGCCTTGCCGTATCGCCTTCGTCGCCTCGATGTCGTCGCCTTCACCTTTTCGTCTCGCCATCGTCGCCTTGATGTCGTCGCCTTCGCCTTGCCGTCCCGCCGTCGTCGCCTTGATGTCGTCGCCTTCGTCTTGCCGTCGCGCCATCATCGCCTTGATGTTATCGCCTTGGTCTTGCCGTCCCGCCGTCGTCGCCTTGATGTCTTGGTCTTGCCGTCTCGCTGTCGTCGCCTTGATGTTGTCGCCTTGGTCTTGTCGACCCGCCATCGTTGCCTTGATGTCGTCGCCTTGGTCTTGCCGTCCCGCCGTCGTCGCCTTGATGTCGTCGTCTTGGTCTTGCCATCTCGTCGTCGTCTTGATGTTGTCGAGGTTCCTGCGTGCTGCTGAAAAGGAGGCGATGAAGTAGATCAGTCTGTCCTCAACTCGGCCCGGCACGGTCTCACGGACCCAAAGGGCCACCGGCCCGAGCCCCTCGTCCTGGCCATGCCAAGAAGCCACGTCGAAGCCTCTCGCTCTGCCTGGGGCGGACCTCAGCCTCGCGGCTGCTGTCGGCTGCCTGATGGCGACGTCGACTGCGTCGACGTGCCTCCTCAAACGCGAGGACCAGGCACACCTGACAGCGCCCTCACCTTCGTAGCCGGCTCGTCTCTCCACCACGACGCCGCCGCCTGGGGCATCCGGCGCCACGAGTCGCTGCTCAGCAGCCCGGACCCCTCTCTGACGGCGACGACGGCGAGCGGCATCTTCGGGGGCAAGCATCCCCCTCTCCTCGCCACCAAACAACATCCATCTCCACCGCCCTTCCCGCTCGACATCCTCAGCAGCGTGAGCGTCGGCTGCTGCTCGACGCTCGACACCGCGGATCCCGATCTGACAACCACGAGCAGAGTCCTCGACAGCAAGGACGAGGTCAGCCTCTCGGCGTTCCCTAGCCTTGCGGTCAGAGTCGTCCACGCCGCCATCAGCCAGAGCAGCCGCGGCTGCATGCTCCCTGCGCGTCCATCGACGAGCAGCCACATCTGCCAACTGCCCTGCCTCCTCCTCATCCGCCCCAAAGCCTCCATCAACAATGACGACGCTGCCGAAGCAATCGCCCGCATTGGCGACACCCGAGCGCCAACGTCTGCATATGCCCATCGGACCCGCATTCACCGCCGCATCACCCCGGCCATCCACTGGAGCAGCGCCAGAGGCGTCGTCCCGGCAGAAGGTCGAAGCGAAGAACAGCATGAACACGGCCCGGACGGACCACAGCGACGGAGCAACCACATCTACTCGCCTGTGCTCCCATAGCATGGGGAGCAGGATGACCGTTGGGTCTTTGACCCCCCGCCACGTCAGCAATCGCCTTGAGCCCGTCGTCTTGTCGCCCATCGTCTTGTCGCCCATCGTCTTGTCGCCCGTCGTATTGTCGCCCATCGTCTTGTCGCCCATCGTCTTGTCGCCCATCGTCTTGCCGCCCATCGTCTTGTCGCCCGTCGTCTTGTCGCCCATCGTCTTGTCGTACGTCGTCCTGTCGCCCGTCGTCTTGTCGCCCGTCGTCTTGTCGCCCATCGTCTTGTCGCCCGTCGTCTTGTCGCTCATCGTCTTGTCGCCCGTCGTCTTGTCGCCCGTCGTCTTGTCACCCGTCGTCTTGTCGCCCGTCACGCTTGCCGCCGTCTTGTCGTGTCGCCCTGTAGCCAGCCGCCCGAGGGCGACCGGCACCAAGAACAACCAAACAAAGGCAAGGCGCATACTTTCAGTATCTGTAGAAGTCCCCGTCGGCAACAAAGCTCGGCGAGGAATCTTGGTGTGTGTCTGTGTGTGTGTGTGTGAGAGAGAGCGAGAGTGTGTGCGCTGGGGTTGCGATACTCGCCGGATATGATAGCACGTTTAGACCCGTGCAGTGGTGGCGGGACGGAAGGGGGCAGGCGGGAGCGCGCCAGTCAGTTCACCCTGGCCTGCCGGCGTGGCAGGGCGGGCGGCCAGGCAGGGCGGGCGGCCAGACCCCCAGGCGGGCAGGTGAGCAGGCAGGCGGGCTGACGAGCTGCGTGCCGTCTGGGCTTGGCTGGGTTGAGCCAGGCTAGGCTGGGCTGGGCCTGGGTCCGGCCTGCCAGAGGGCTGGTGCTGGCCTGGCTTCCATGCAGGGCAAGAATTCGACGACGACGAGGCCCACCCAGCCACAACAAGCCACGCAGCCACGGTCTGGGCCCACCGTGCGAGCGGCCTCGCCTGTGAGCCACTCGGCCGATCGAGCGTCCTTCCCTGCCCGCCCTCTCTCCCTGCCAAACTCGCCCGTCTCGCTAGGCGGGCCTGGCTCTGTCGGTTCTGCACGTGAGAGCGCGACCTCCTGCTGGGCATTCACCGCCGACCTTCGTTGCCACGCCGCGTGCTGGACGCCCTGGCGCTTCACCGGCCCCCGATCCTGCTTGTTTTCCCCTGCACACAGCTGCCTCATTCTACCCGTCTCATGGCAGTCTGATGCGCCCACGATCTCATCCAGATGATTCTGCGTTCAATCCAGGGATCGGAAGAGATGCGAGGCGACGTTTGGGATGTCGCCGTGTTTCCACAACGGGACGGGGGAATCTAGGACAGGGCGCGCTGATCGCCGCTCTGCGTGTAGCGGAGGCGGGTTCGAGACGGCACGACGCGGAAGGGTTGCCAATAGAGGCAGAGGCGACCTCTTGGGGTCCACATCCAGGCCGGCGATGGAAAGGGCTAGCGGCTGTACTCGAGAGGGGGAGGTGACCGACTGCGGGCTGGGCTTAGCGACGCTCTTGCTCGCGTTGCTCGCCCGCGGTGCAACGACTTTTGGACTCGTAGCGATTCCGACTGCCTTTCCGGCTGGTTGTAACGGCCCTCGATGTCTGCTCGAGACTGGAAGGCGGCGGAGAAGAGCCCGGCGGAGGGAGGACTAGGTCAGATCAGTCGAGATCCGGACGGCGCCACCTCTCTCGAGCGCGGATCGGCATTGGTCGCCTGCATGCGCACCTACCGCGCAAGATGCCGGCGAGGGGCTGCAGCGATGCTTCACTGCCTTCGACGGGTCTCCAGAATGCCAGGGAGGACGTCGTCGTGGAACTTGGTGGCATGCGCCTCGAGCGCCTCGAGGTTCGAGTTCCACGCCTTGGACTTTGCCGCCGCGACCTGACTGAGGCGCTGCCTGGCGGGCTCGGCAAGGTAGAGCTGGTAGACGTTGCTGCCGAGCTGCTTGGAGAGGGCGCCCTCGGAGTATGCGGCCAGAGCAGCATCAAACTGGTCGCTGCCGAGCTTGAGCGCCCGACTTCCCCCGGAGGCAAAGGGGAGGGACTCGGCGGGGACGAGCGCGGGCGTGATGAGGATGTCGACGACGCGCTGGCAGTACATGCTCATCTGTCCCTCAAGGCCCGACGGACGGAAGTGGAAGACGTCCAGGAGGAACGTTTCCGTATCGAGGTAGAGGCGCTCGTCGAGCCATCGCGGGAGAGCCTCGGTCACCCTGGGCGGGCCCTTTTTGTTGTCGGCCAGGGCGATGGGCACGAGCACCTCGATGACGGTCTTGCAGGCGAGGTCGCCCGTGTTCTCCGTGCGGTAGTCGATGTAGAGGCTCGACTGCGCGAGACGCTTCATCGTGACGAGTAGCGGTCGCCGACGCGAGCGATGGCGTGGAGATCGGGCGCAGCGGCGAGCGTGTGCGACAATTGGGGCTGAGATGCAGCGAGCGTGGCGGTCGATGCCAGAAGCGGCGAGAAGACTCGACGAGATGAGGGGCGGAGGCTGGCTTGGCGGAGCTGCTGTTGTTGTTGTCGTTAGTGGTGGTGGTGCGGTGCCAAGGGAGAAAGGGACTCGCACGCGACCCTGTCCTCGCTGGCGATTTTCCTGCGGGCGCCGGCCGGCGTCTCTTTGGCGCGACCTCGCCGCCTGCACCCACGCAGACGGTCGCGCAGATGCAGATTCCCTTCAACTCACGACGCGCGAGCAACAGCTAGTCAGGTTAATGCTGGCGCGGGCGGCGGTTGCTGTCGAGCACGCGCGGAGCGAATCGGCCGCAGGCTTCCCTTCCTGGCTGTCCTACCACGTCTGCGGACGTTCTCGCAACGTAGGCACATGAACACAAGGCGTCTCATTCCGCTCGGCTTTTGTCGACGATGAGGGAAGGTCCCCACCTTTCCTCAGTAGAGGGGTGGTGGCGGAACTCTCCACAGAGCCAACGAGGTCTACATCAGCAGGAAATGGAGAAGGTCGTACCGCTCTGGCACAGAGCCGTGGCGTGAAGGAGATGGAGCAAGTCAACATGGACACAACTGGGTGTGACTGAGGTACAGAGGGAGCCAGGCCGAGCCAAGCCTATCTGCTCCGAGACGATGGGAAGGCAGCGGAAGGAAGCGTCGGGTAGCGGAGGGATGAGCAGAAGACGGCGGCGGTCGAGGACTCTTGCGCTTGTCGCTTTCGTTGCAATGAAGAGAAGTGGGTCGACGGAGCTCTCGTCTGGCCGAAAGGATAGGCCTGCGCATGGCCAGAAAGAGGAGCCCGCAGATGATGGTCGAGAGATGTCATACCAGGTCAGCTCCGTCGAGAACCAGACTGCAGAGGTCCCCTGCAGCCTAGACCCAACTCACATCTGCAGCACGAGTCGGGGGAGACATTATAGCACCTTGTCGCGAGGAGGACAGGCCACAAGAACGTAAGAGGCAGTCGGAGCAACGGCCCTCCGGCCTTTGATAGTCTGCACAATGTCGGGAAGGTCTGCCTGCTTGAAGTCGACAGCCCGCTTCTTCAGTACGTCGAGGCTGGCGTTCCACTCGCTGCGCATTTCCCGCGCGATTTCGGCGATGCGCTGCCCAGCATCATCGCAGAGGTAGACTTGGAAAACGACATCGCCAAGTCGAGTCGAGAGGACATCCTCGACCCCGCCATGGGCAAGTACCGCCTCTGTCACCTTCTGCGGCCTATAGGCATAGATACCGCGGCTGACATACGACCCCGACAAAGGTGGGACTGGGACGAAGACCGGTCTGATGACGATGTCGACGATGTGCTGGCAGCTACTGCTCATCTGCTCGTTGAGTCCTGAGGGTGTAAATTTGAAGACGGAATGAAAGAAGCCCTCCTTGTTGAGCTTGAGATGCTGGTCAAGCCAAGTTGGAAGCACCGCTTGTATGGCGTACGGGTTTTGGTTGGAGGCGACGGAGATGGGAAGACAGACCTTGATGACCGTCTTGAATCGACTGCCACAGAGACTGGACGGGTCGACACTGATGAAGTAGTCGGAAGGAAGCAGTAGGGCGTCATGAGCGGCGTGGGATGACTGGAGGGACGGAAGCGGCGGGGAGGACGGGATGATGGGAGAGAGAGAGAGAGAGGACAGAAGGAAGGACGGAAGGAAGAGAGGAAGAGAGGAAGGAATGAAAGGAAGGACGGAAGCCAGGCGAGACGAGACCCAGTGCAAGCAAGGCTGGCGCTGACGTGGACCTCATCTCGGGGCGTTTGCAAGGACCAAGCCGATCACAACCTTCCCTGCGGCTCGGCCTGTTTCGGCGCTAGATCCGTCAACGCCGCTCCCGGCCGCTGGCTGTTGGCTTTGTGCGTCCCCTTGTACAGCCTGGAAACCAGAGACGTCGTCTGTTCAGAGGCGGAACCTTCGCTCGACGCTGGAATCATCGGCGCCGCATCTCAGGAACCTCCAAAAGTGACTGGTCACGTTTCCATCGGCAGGGCGTGCTCAAATCGCTCTCCGCTCGCAGGATGTCGTACCTCAATCGATGGGCGACGGTGGAGCGGCAAATGGCGTGCGAGGGAGCGGAAGCTGGTGCGGAAAACGACACCCGAAGAGGAGGGCGACGACTACAGCGCGGCAACTTCAGTGCCTGAAACAGGGGCTTTGGGCTCGACATGCGGTAAGTCAAAGGACGGAAGCGAGCTACGAGCTGCTAGCGCAAGCTTGGACGCGAAACGGTCAGATCTGATTTGAGGCGGAGAGACCGAGGCGGGAAGACAAAGGATACAATGTGGCGTCGCGTGGCTGTCCTACGACGATACTCGTGCTTGGACGGTGTGCGCAGTCTCAACAGAGGCAGTGCAGTCGACGGGCATGGGAGCAAAGCATCGCGCTCTCGGGGAGCGACTGACGAGGGACTGGGAGGTCGAACGAGCTGCTCTGCATGACGGATCGCAGCGCACGTCGCAGCTGAATGACTTGCTAGGGCTTGAAGCGTGCCGTATGATGACGGCCGAGCCTGGGCGATCTTGTAGCGGATTGTGGGTCATGTTCCGGCGGCATTCATAAGCGCTCAGTCCGGCGGCTGCGATGTGCGGTCGTGTGGCGGACGCGGAGCGACGAAGGGGTCAGCCAGAGTTCGCCGAGCCACTTTCGACCCGTGTCGAATCACACGGTATTGACGGAAAATCAACAAGTCGGTGCTCATGCCAAGGCTGAGGGGGGAAGTTGCTTGATAGGACACACTGAGGGCCGCCCTACTTTGGCCGACCTACGTTGCTCAAGCTGGGCACGCTCAATAGGCGCGGTCGCGGCACGCTTCCGCAGCGCGGCGGAGATTGTCAAGAGCCGCTCGCGAGGCCGCCGACATGGCCCTTGCCAGATCCTCGATCTTGTCTTTGCTGTCCGGGGTAAGCACTACCTCGAAGACAAACAGGCCGAGCTGAGTCTTCAACGCGTCTGTCGCTTGGCGGCGGGCGACGTATGCCGCCTGAACCGTGGCCTGAGGGTAAGCGAGCAGCTTGGGCCATTCGCGCCAAGCTATTCGAAGCTCGTCCCTAACGAAGACCGGCTTGACGACAATGTGTATGACAGTCTTAGGATCGTTGGTCGCCGGGATGGGCGAGTGAGCCGGCACGTACTTGAATACGTCCTGGAAGAACTTGTTCACGTCGAGGGTAAGATACTCATCCAGCCAACGGGTAAGCTTGGCCAGCGTGCCTTGGAGCTCGCGAAAGTGGATCGGCACATGGACGTCGAGGATCAGTGTTGAGGTGTGCCGGTACACGATGCCGCCGCTCGACGGTCGCACGCTGACGACGGGATCATGTTCACAGGCAAGGTAGGACATGGCGAGCAGCTTTGATGTCCGGGCGATGAAGTCGAGCGACGTGGAGAGAGGTATGCGTGGCGAAGATGGCGGAAGAGAGGGAAGGAGGAGGCGTGCGCTGTTTGCCTTTTTATCCTGTGGGAGCAGAAGGACGGGGCTGCGCAGCAGGTCAACGGCGAGGCTGCAGGTCTTCCGCCCGAGCGGGCTAGAAGACGACCTGTCTCGTGCAGACCAACGCTGGGACGAAAAGGCGACGCAGACTAGCGCAGACGTGAAGCCGGCCCCCTCATCCCCTTTGTGCCCTGCCGCATCAGGTCAGCAGCTATGCCGCACCCTGGTCCGTTTGCACTTTATTTGCAACGGTGCAGACCGCCCCGGTGGTTCCTGGGCTAGTCCACCCCTTCAAGAGAGCTCGACAACGCCGCCCCGAGCCGGAACCAGCGTGGACGGCCATGGCGCGGCTACGCCCCGATCTCGCCCGAGATGCTCCCCTCACCGGCCGAGAGGAGACGGGAGCCGGATCGATTCGCTTCAGACCAGGATACGAGGTCACTGGCCGAGCTGGTCCTTGTATTGCCGTCGCTTTGTGATCTCGTGTGCTGGCCAGGCGACATCGACACGCATCCGCGGACAGGTTGAGGGCAGGACCATCGGGTCACCAGGAGAACGCAGAAAGGTCCGGATCTGCCGTCGGAACAGATTGACAGAGAGGGGGGAATGTGTTTGAAGCGTCAGAGGCTTTGCCGTCTGGGCGCGACCACGGCGGATGCATCTCGACGTACCTAGCCGCTGCCCTCGGGCCTTTGTCTGGTCCAGGTCGACCTAGGCGAGCAGGCTATCGCGGTACGTCTCGGCATCGAGGCAGAGGACGTAAAGCGCCCACTTCCAGTAATCTCGATTGAGCGCATCGGCGATTGCGATAAGGCGGAGCCTCGAATGCTCGGCGACGTAGAGCTCGTAGGCAAAGGGTCGGAGCAGGTTGGCTTCAAAGAGGTCCGACGTCGCCCTCAACTTCTCGTGAGCGCGGCGGAGCTCTTGCTCACTGTACGCCTGAAGCAGCACCAGCTCGTGTCGAGGCGGCACGAAGGCCGTGATCGAGTGGTCTGGATCGACAAAGATGGGTCGGACGACGATATTGAGCACCTTGGCCGAGAGGAGCGACAGCGGCGGCGGCGGCGTGCCGGCCAGACCGGCAGGCTCGAACTTGAAGACGTCGACAAAGAACCACTGCTTGTCCAGCGTCAGGTGCTCGTCGAGCCAGCGCGGGAGAAAGGCCGTGAGCGTTCTCTCGTAGGCGTCGTAGTGCACCGGCAGGTAGACGTCGACGAGCGTGGCGGGCTGGCCGTACACGGTGCCCCTGCTCTCTGGGCTGACGACGATCACCGGCTCGTTGGCTGTCGGTCCTGACATGGTGAGCGGGCAGAAGGCGGGTCGACGGGGAAGGAGGAGGAGCTTGGATAGTGCCTGGCGCGATGGTGGTGGTGGACCGGAGAAGAGAGCGGCGAGTCTCGGTTGGCGCTGCTCGAGTCGGCCAGGCCACGCCAGGCGAGAGGCGTCGCGTGCCAGAAAAAAGGAACCCTCGAGTCGTGTCCAGCTCCCGGGCCCGGCCTGCCCTTGCTCGTCAGAAGGCGCGGCCTTGTCGCCTCGTCCATCTGGCGGCCACGCCTTCGGTCGGGGACTCAGAGGCGCAAGGGCGATTGTCCATTCTATTGCTGTTCGTCCGCTAGTCTATCGTAGCTAGCTAGCTGCGTGTCTATCATCGAGAAAAGAGAGTGTGTGAGCCCAAGCAGGGCAGAGGGAAGAGAGTGAAGGGCGGTGGAAACCGCCGAGCCATCGTGCAAGGAAGAGCGAGAGAGAAAGAGGGAGTGTGGCTCGACTACCGGGGAGAAGACCGGTTGACGCTGCTCGGGTTGAGCAGGTACTTGCCCTTGCCGAACCAGAGGGCGACAAACAGCTCGCCCAGCAGGCTCGAGGGGTACTCGAGGAGCAGGCGGAACAGGACGGCAAGGGCCGTCGAGATGGCCAGGCAGACGATCCACACGGTCGCGACCGTCGACGACGTGCCCTTGCCCATGGCGCGGTCCGCCTCGCTCGGCATCGAGACGAGGCGCGGGACAATGTTCCAAAAGACGATTGGATGCATGACGGTGATGCCCGCGGAGAGGTGCTGGCCCAGCAGCGAGATGGGACGCAGGTTGAAGACGTAGCGCAGCACGGGCGTCATGTCGACGAGGGCGACGAGGAAAAAGGCCGCGGCCAGGTCGGCGAAGCGCACCATATCGTAGCCGGACCAGAAGTCCTTGGAGAAGGGCGGGTTGAGGGTGTGCAGCTGCGACAGCGCCTCGGTCGTGTTGTCGCGCACGCTCGGCAGGAAGAGCATCAGGCCCATTCCCGCCGCCGACACGAGCTGCGCGTAGAAGCCGAGCACGTTGGAGCTCGCCAGAGCCCGGAAGAAGGCCGGCACCTTGGTCTCGGGCCCGCCGACGGGACGGAGCAGCCGCGCGAACCGGCCGGACACGTCGAGCTCGGCGAGAAAGATGCCCGCGACAAACGGAGAGAGGTAGGACCACGACGCCCAGTTGAGGGCGCCGATGGCAAAGTAGAAGAAGAGGCGCGTGTCCTTGCCCAGCATCTCGCCAAACATGGCCATGACGTAGGCGTAGTAGCTGCCCTGGAGCAGCCAGGGCACCGTGAAGAGCATCGACGTCTGCTGCCGCAGCACCTGCGACATGGTCTCCATCGTAAAGAGGTTGACAAACGTCGTGAGCCAGTCGACGGCGTTTTCGAGGCACCAGTCGGTGGCAAAGGGGCGCGAAAAGACGGCGTGGAAGTCGGCGTGGCTGGCCGACATGTTGGTCGTCTTGCAGAGGCGGTACTGGATCGCAGAGACGATGAGCGCGGGCAGCAGGAAGCGGAACGGCCGCGAGACGATCGACTTGCCCATCGTCTGGAACATGGGCTCGGTCGAGTAGTGCACCTTGGCCGGGATGACCGGCGGCGCTTCGTAGCGCTGCTCTTGTTCCCCTCCTTGCTCTTGCTTCGGGTCTTGTTCTTTGTCCTGGTCGTGTCTCTTTTCGCCCTTCTTCCCGGCCTTGGCGTCTAGCACTGGTGGCGGCGGCGACCTGGGAGGAAGCGCGCGCGGCTTGATCCACGGCAGGCCGACGGTTCGTCCGCAGAGCACAAAGAACAGGATCAGGCCGAAATCGGACCTGATCGGGTAGAGGAGGGTACGCGAGAGCTTCGAGTCACTCGGCACGCTGCCGACCACGGTCGAAGAGAGCACCAGCACCGCCGCCAGCAGCCTCAGGCCGTCGAGGTGGCGTTCGCGCTTCTTGCTCGAGAGGAACGGGTTTATTCTCGACAGCAGGCCCAGCTCGAGCGCGGGCATCTCGGGCAGCGGGCCGATGCGCAGCTTGGGCAGCGCCGGCATCTTCGGCAGCTTGGGCAGCTTGAAACGACTCGACCTGGGCGAGGCGGGCACCACAAACACGCCGTCCATCGGCGACTTTGGCTCCACATCGACGACCTCGCTTGCGCTCGAAGCCTGCCGCACCTTTTTGTACACGGTGAACTTGTCGTCGGGCTTTTCGCCCACCAGCTCGCGGTACTTGGACAGGCGCGACGCTTTCCCAGGACTGAGGCGGAGCGAGGCGCGCTTGATCTCGTCGGGCGCCTTGTAGTCGTCCTTGGAGAACGACACCTTGTGCGGCGTCGACTCGCCCGAGACGTCGGTCGAGTCCGCGGGCGTGCGGCTGCCGTAGCCGGGAAGGGGCGTGGCGGGCGTCATGGGCGTGTGTGGCATCGTCGGCATCGCCGACATGTAGGACAAAGGCGGCATGGGTCCGCGAGGCGGCTGCGGGCTCCAAGGCGTTCGAGGCGTATGGGGGCTCCAGGGCGTGCGTGGCTGGCTCGGGTCCATGTAGGGTAGGATGATGTCGTCGTCGAGCTCCTCGGTCGGCTCGGCATTGCTGCCATTGCCGTGGTCCCCAGCCGGAGTCTGGTGGTGCTCGTTGACAGCTGAAGCGGCGGCGTCGAGGCGCCGATCCCGTCGAAGCACGTGCGAGAACTGCAGCGGCCTAGGGCGGGGAGCCCGGTTGCCTGCCAGCATGATGGCGAAGGCCGAGGGCGTTTCTGACTCTGGCTGCTCCATGCTGGGGCGAGCATCTGGTCGCGCCGCGGGTGCCTCGGTATCGGTTGGGCTGTCGTTGCGCTCGTCTGAGCGGTTTGCGGATCGGTCAGCTCCTGAACGGCGCGAGGAGCTCGAAGATGGACGGGACCGTGTGTCGCCGAGCTCCATGCCGTTGAAGAGCTGTTCGAGCTGCTGCTGGTGGCGCTGGTCCGACATGGCTCCTTGGTCGACGGGCGCGGCAGTGATGGGGAGGGAGGTCTGTAGGTGCCCGAGCGTCCTCTAGACGCGATAAGGCTGCTGTTATGAAGGGGCAGCGAACTCAGGCCTGCCAAGGTGAGAGAGAAGGTGCGGCTAGATGGTAAAGGAACAGGGTCTCCTGGAAGAAGGGAGCAGGAGAGCAGGATGGAGAAGGACCTAAAGAATAGGGGAAGACTGGGAGGGAAACAAAGAAGCGGCGCGGTCAGCGCCCGGCAGGAAGGCGAACAAGGGGAGACAGACGCGGCCGCCTCGGCCGAACAGACCTTTGCCGCAACGTTCCTCGCCGCAGAAGAGGTGTCAGGCTCGATGCAGGGGCAAACATGGCGGTACCTCCCGCCGAGACGGCACAAAGGAGCGGCTTCATTGGTACGGGCGCGTGGCGGACAACTCTACGTTGGCATGAGGAAGAACGGACGGCGGTACATCAACGCAGTACCCGCAAGGCAGCGTCCCGTCCTCTCGTCTGCCCTATCGGCTCCAGCGACACAGGGGCCTGATTGATTCAATCGATCGGCATCGAAGGGTACCAGTGGACGGAGATGCCCGCTTCCACGGACGTGCGAGGAGGGAAAAACTGGCCTGGATGGAAAGTACGCACCGGAAGCGGAAGGATGGACGCTGCTGCGAGCTCATCTTCTCCCACCTGACAACGCCGTGGACGAAGCTCAGGATCAGCTCACGAGGAGGTGTGGGAACAAAGCGGCAGACGGCGGTGATGCTGCAGCCTTTGTGCCCGCCGGAAGCACACGGAGCGTGCTTTCAGGTCCACATGTGCTGCCTCGGTCCGGTCGCAGTGCGCCACGCCGAGGACGCCGGTACGAGTAGGGTTGCTGCATCGGAGGATTATGCCCATGGGCTCTTGGCAGGAGCGCGCAGATCCTGCTCATGTTGCGGACTTGAGCCGCTCGTCATCGGACGTAGCTCGGAGGTCGGCGCAGGTCGTTCGATGATGCGGTGATGGCAGGGTCGGTGGAAATCCAAGCCGGCATGCCGCTGTGGTGCCCCTTCAGCTGCTGCTAAGGTGAGCCGGCGCGGGAGGCGGAGGCGGGCGCGGAGAGGGGGATCGACAAACATCCTGCGGAAGCGAGGCGACAAGGTGTAGGGACGGGAGCGTGCCCGGCGGAAGCCGCATTGGGACGAAGGTTCGAGCTCGTGGGTGCGGGCATATGGGTGCATGTGCGGCGCCGAGAGGGGCGGGCACCGACGTCGAGCTGCGACGATGATGCGACGGACGGCGGTGGCTTGGCGGGCGGGAGAGGGCGAGAGGGTGTCAGGATGCGCCGGAAGGGGGAGATGTTGAATCTCTGAGTGCGGCCGACGCAGAGGACCGACCTGCTGCTGCGACCGCCGGAAGATACTTCGATCGCTTGCGGGAGAGGCCGAGCGACTGCAGGCGAGAGGCGGAAGGGGGCCAAGGGCGAGGGGGGTGGTGCCCTCGAGGTGGGTACGAGACGAGATCAGCACGCTTCGACTCTGCGCTGCTGGGGTGCGGCGGCCCGAGGCGCGTCAGAGGGGCGAGGATGGCGGCGGCGGTGGTGGTGGTGGGGAGGGGCGAGAAGGGACGCGTGGGAAGCAGCCGCGCAGAGGCAAGAAAGCTCGCTCGGTTGTGCGCCTGACACTTCTGGGTGAGCCACGCATGGCTGCCCAGGCCGGCCTGCTGCTCGTCTTGCCATCGTTCTCTCGTCTCGGCACCCCTTCTTCGCTGCTGCTGCTGCTGCTGCTGCTGCTGCTACGCTGCTGCTCGATAGATAGATCATGCTTCACCTCGCTCTCCTGCTTCCGCTGCACTCCCTCGCTCGCTTCCGGCGTTTTGGATCGTCACGTAGGGTCGATCCCCGTCTCCCTCCTGCCTGCCCTGCCCAGCATCTCGTCTTTGTCGTCGTCGTCGAGCCAACAAGGAACCTCCTCCGTGGCGAGGGGACGCCAACGCCTCTCGTCCGGCTGCCCATCGACCGCGTCCCACCGTCCCGCGGCCCGAAACCGCCTTCTCGTCATCGTCTACCGCCGCGCCTCTCCTGCCTCCCCCGCGCTTGCCGGTCCTTTTGCGGCCATCTAGCTCGTTTGCCTCCTCAATGCATCGCTCCCGTCGACTCACTGTGGCGCAGCACGCTAGCAGCCCGGACCCGGCGCCACTCTTTCTCCCCTCGCCGCCGCCGCCACCGCCGAAAGCGGAACGACGTTCCCACCCTTCCATCGCTGGGGCGGCCGATCGAATCAGAGACCTTCTCGGGACCATGTCTTGTCGAAACCTTGTTCGCCAGTCCGGCCTTCGCCGTCGATTCGAGCCTCGTGCCTGGTCGAGCGTTCAACGCGATGGTCGACGCTGGGCCGCCCCGCTGCATATCTTCAACATCCCCCTTCCTTTGACCTCGTGTATTGCTCGCCTGCCTTTGAAGACCAAGAGCGACCAAGGTGAGGCTACATAAGGACGACGACCAAGCGGGTGTTCGATCATCGTCCCTTTGACCCCTCCTCTGCCTCCAGACCTCTCCCCAAGCCTCAAGACATCACCTTGCTCCCCTCCCCTCCCCATCTCGTCAACCCCTCTTCAACAGCTTCCTCCTCGCTCCCTCATCTTTGCCTGCCTGCTCGTCCGACCAACATGGAGTCGGTCAACGGAGTCATCACCGCCATCATGGCCGGCGAGCACGCCGTCGGCAAGGACGCCGTTCACGCCGCTGCGGACACCACTGGAACCCTGGACCAGCTCAACAACGTTGTGAGTGTCCGCCTTGCCTTGGCATCGCCGCTGATGCAGACACGATTCTGCCTGCTGGCCGGCCCGACTGACCATGCCTACCTGCTTCTTGGAACCTGCCTGCGATCGGCGGCGGAGCAGACGGCCATGTCGCTGGACGACTACACCTTCCAGGTCGACAGCGCCTGCAGCTCGACGCTGACCACGCCCGAGGACGCCGTCGACGACCCGATGGGTGGGCTGCGGGCTAGCCCTCCCCTGTCGCGCCTCCCTCCATCGACGGGCGCGATGACGGGACGACGACCTCTCCCGATCCACACCGGCCCCATCCCCTCGTTCTACAGCATCATCCCCGCCGGTGGGTCCGGGACGAGGCTGTGGCCTCTGTCGCGCGACGCTCGACCCAAGTTCCTGCTCGACCTCGAGGGCAACGGCGGCTCGCTGCTGCAAAACACCTGGAACCGCCTGCGCCCGCTCTCGTACCGCTCCAACATTGTCGTCGTCACCGGAAACGCGCATGCCTCCGAGGTGGGCCAGCAGCTCCTGGGTGAGCTCGAAGGCGACAACCTCGTCACCGAGCCCTGCCCAAAGGAGAGCATGGCCGCCATCGGCCTCGCTGCGGCCATCTGCCTCAAGCGCGACCCCGACGCCATCGTCGGCAGTTTTGCCGCAGACCATGTCATGCCAGCAGAAGATAAGGTGAGCATCAGAAGTCGGGTCCTTGCTGTTTCGCAGCTGCAGCAAAGGCGAAAAGGGCCATGCAAGCAGGGGCTCAGGGCAGGGCGAGGGTTGGCTGGCCTGCGAGGAGAGGGGCCAGCGAGCGAGAGCGCAGTATCGGCTTGGACGCAGTGTTGGACGTGCAAACTCAGAGGCTCCGGCCCGACCGACTTGCTCGCTCTCTCGCTCGCTCGTTCGCCCTGTGCCTCGCTGGGGGCAGAGAGAGAGAGCCGTCGCTGGCCTGCTCTAGCCTGCCTGTTTTCGAACCCAGCCTTCGCCGAATTTGCGCTCCTCTCTGCCTGGCAGCTGGGCTGGCCGCTGGACTGGGCGCGCTGGCGGTGGGCCTGCCTGTCGTTGCGATTTCGATCCCCGCGTCTTGGAGTTGAGAGCCAGCCCGAGGGGGCGAGCGACCCCTGGCCCTGGCTTCGGATTCCTGAGTGGTGTAGATCGGCCTTCTGACCACCCGGCTTCTTGCCCTGCCCCCTCTTCTCCTCTGGCCCCCTCTGCCAACAGAACCCGCAATTCTACACGGCGGTGCGCGAGGCGGTCCGGGTGGCGCAGGCCCACGACGTCCTCGTCACCATCGGCATCCAGCCCACCGAGCCGTCGACCGCTTTTGGCTACATCCACATCGGTGCGCCGGCCTCGGAGTCCGACCGAGGCGCTGCAACGAGTGCGGCGACAGCGGACACGACGACGACGACCACGGCCGCCACCGGCGATCGCGCCTTCCGCGTCTCGTCGTTCAAGGAGAAGCCCGACGCCGCCACGGCCGCCCGCCTCATCGCCGATGGCCAGCACTGCTGGAATGCGGGCATCTTTGTCGCCAGCGCCAGGGTGCTCCTCGACATGCTGCAGAGGCACCAGCCGGACCTCTACCGCGGCCTCGACGGCCTTGCCCAGCTGCACGGCACCGAAGGCTACGCGGCCGAGCTGGCAAAGGTGTGGCCGACGCTGCTCAAGATCTCCATCGACCACGCCATCGCCGAGCCTGCGGCCGCTAGCGGCGACATGATGGTGGTGCCCGCGCCCCTCGTCTGGAAGGACCTGGGCGACTTTGCCAGCCTCTCGGAATGGCGCCGGCTGTCTTCGGCTCCCAGCACGCCCCGATCGCCCCTCTCGATGGCAGGCGGCCTGCCGACTCCCCCGCTCAGCGCGACTTCGGCGTGGACGCCATCGCTATCGCCCTCGCCCCGATCGCCTCTCTGCCCGCTGCCGCCCCTCGCCCCCATCGAGTCCGGCCCCGGCCCCAAGACGACCGCCGAGGCAGTTTCCGAAGCCGCCGCCAGCCTCGAAGAGGAGCCCGTCATTGTCCTCGGCGACGAGTCGAGCGTCTTCTTCGACGATGCCACCGGCTTCATTGTACCCGGCTCCGGCCGCGTCATCGGCTGCATCGGCCTCCAGGACGTTGTCATCGTCGATACCAAGGACGCGCTCCTGGTGATGCACAAGAGCCGCGCCCAGGAGATCAAGCAGCTGGCGAACCGCTGCAAGCTCGCCTTTCCCACGTTGTCGTAGCGCGCGTCCGCCCGTAGACGTTGGCTGTCCGGTGGTGGCGGTCGGCGGTGGCCTCGGCGCGTCGTCCTGCCGCTACTATCTTTTTCCCCTCGTTTTAGTCTGTCCTTTTTTGCCTCTCGGACTCTGCCTTCTTCGCCTTTGCAATGGATACACGCTCGTTTCTACTCACTCGGACTTGGCTCGCTGTCGCTTGGCTTGGCTTGCCTTGGCGCGAGTGCGTGCCTGGCTTCGCCGTCTGACCGCCGTCGTGTTGCGAGGTGGGCCAGTGGCCCTACTGGTGTTTGGATGGCTTGCCGTCCGTGTTTGTTGCTTGTTTGCCCGCTGCCTGCCTGTCTGGAAGGGGATCGCCTTCGACTCGGCTAGCCCAACGCGCAGCGAGCGTTCCTGGCAGGCCGCGTGGCGTGGCTGCATGGCCTTCGGTCGGCTCGGATCAGGAAGGCGTCCGCTGGAAAAATACGCATTCCGGGTGTGCCACGCGACGCGAGGATGACCTTTGCTGGCTCCGTTCCGCATGACGGCCACCGAGGGGCTCGTCCCTGCATCTCCACGCACTGTCCATCCGTCGCCGTCGTCCTGCCTCTCGGAGCGAGGCCTGTCGGCCCGAAGCGTCGTCGATCGGCTCTCGCTGGCCGCCTGGCTGGCTTCGGAATGGGTCCGATCGAGTCAACAGCGACCTGGCAGCGGCGAGGCGAGCGCTCCGCCTACAGCGCCAGCGGATTGGAGCGGCGACGACGTGGGATCGAAGGATGGTCTGCACCGCTGCCGATTTTCAGGGGACATCGGACCGGTTGCGATGTGCCAGGCATTGTCTGCGCTCGTCGTTTGGGCCAAGCGGCGAAAGGAGTTGGCCGGTCGATGGTGTTGTTCGTGTCGACGTCGTTGGGGACAGCGCCGTTTTTCAGGAGCAGGTCGAATGCGGTCGGAGAGGATCGAGGTCCGAGAAACAGCTTCCCACAAAGCAGTGCTGTCGAGTTGGCCTGCCTGCGGTCGAAGGTGGCTGACAAACAGTATAATGGTGGCGAGCATCGTCGAGGGCGAGTCGGCAGCTCTACCGGCTCAGGAAGGCTGTCGCTGCCGGTCGGATCGGCAGCGGCCGAGGATAGGTCGGATTAGGATGTCGACCTTCCCAAAGCGGCAACAAGCTGCTCGACCGAGTGTTCGGTTCGTTCATGGTCCGGGCTCAGCGTCTGCAGTCGAGCCGTAGAGCGACCGTGGCGCTGGAATATCGACTCCGACCACCCTTTGGGACGCAGAGTAACCCATCAAGGAGATGGATGCCTGTCCAACTCCGCTTCGACGACGGACTTCGCCAGACGCGCAGCTGGAATGCCCCTTCCAGGCTGTGCTTCCGTGCATAGAGTGACCTGAATCACCGCGTACGGCTCGCCGATCATTGTGAGCTCTGAACCTGCGGCCCCCTACCACCGAGGACCGATAGCAAGAGGCAAGCCGACCGAGACGGTGCGATGCTCCGCTCCGGTCCGAACTAAGTCGGCCAATTGTGCCTCGCTCGCCACCATGACGTGAGTGGCTTGCTCGCTGTCGGTCAACCGGGGTGCGAAGGATGCTGATGTCTAACGCGGTCGGCATACTGACATGGACTCGGATGCGCCGACGATGCTACTGGCGCGGATCTGTGCCTTGAGGACTGCCGTTCTGCTCGGTGTCGCGTTCCTGGCCTGCGATCCGGAACGGCTCAGAACGGAAGGGACGGTAAGCAGGCAGGCAGGGTGAAGAACCTCTGGGCTGTCAGAGCGGGGCGAGGCCGCACTCTCGGCTTCCGAGCGTTGACTTTGCAGATATTGGGCTTTGATATCTTCCTGAAGTGCAGAAGCCGTTAGTCGGACGAGCGCCGAGCACGACGAAAGGTGGCCAGGGCGCTGCGGGCAGAGAGCAGAGGACTTGGTACCATGGCAGGGGGCTCGGAGCTAAGGCTCTTGCGCGGCGGGACTGATGGAGTGCCCAAGCGGTAGGAGGATGCGGCTCGGAGTCGGTGTCGGGTGCTGAAGTCGAGGTGGCGGTGCTACAATACTAGCTTTAGTGGTGGTGTTGGGTATGGGGGGATGAGGGGGATGGGGACGCCGGTGGTGGTGGCTAGGAAGAGGGAGCGCGCCTGGCCTGCCACGCCAGGAGAGGCGCCCCCCACGCCGAGCCACCCAGAAACGCGCGTGGCGTTTGTATTCCGCCAATTCAAAATCGCTCCGGCCTCGTCTCCGAGGTGCAGGCGCCTGCGTCGTTTTGAATTGGACCCGCTCTGGCCACCGCGCGGGTTGTATTGATTTGCTGCTGCCAGCCAGCACGCGGCCCTCGAGCGCGCGGCTTGCTTCCTCTTCCTCTTCCTCTTCCTCTCCACCACTCCCTCTGTCGCAGCCGCTCCAAGGCTGCTGCTCTGCCATAGTCCGCACTCCGCCCTTTCGTCGTCCTTTCGTCGTCGACGGCACCGTATACAGCGCTTCGAGGCCCTGCCTCGTTCGCACCCAGACGCAGCTTGAACCTTGATCCTCGACCTCTCTCCTTCTCTGTTTCGTCGCCGACCTGCGCCTCTCCTGGTGGTGCGCCGCTGCCGCCGACCCGGTCTGCCTTTGAACTTGCCCTTCTCTCCGCCACTCTCCCACGCTACTCCGCTCTGGTACACTCTCGCCGCTCGACGACGATCTAGGAATGGTAGCCAACCCCCTCGACCCAAAGGCCCGGCTACCGCGGTGGTTCCTCAGAGGCCCCTGCCGTCTCGGCCCCCCTTCCGGGACCGGAAGAGCGCTCTTTGGCTGGTACCCGTCCCGTATTGCCCCTCGCTCTGCCCGCTCGACTATCGCGCTGCTGCTATGGAACGGCTTGCTTCCCGTTCCGGCGATCCTGTGCGTCGCGCCGGGCTGCCGCGACCGACCCAATCTCTTGGAGCGCCCTCTCGCGCTCCCACGCCGAGCGCGATCCCAGAGACAGGAGCTCTGCTCGGCGTGAGGCTTGGCCCCATCGATATACATCTCTGCGCTCTGCCTCTGACATGAACCGAGGTGCACACGGTGGTAGATGAACGCCCAACATTCTCCCGGCAGCACCACTCACCACTCGCCCCTGCTCACGGGCCAATCACGGCCTTGCCGTCGCCGGTGCCTCCTCTCTGCGCGCTCGCCCTTGGGCCTCGTCTTTGCCTCTCGCAGGATCCGCCGCTTCCCCCAACACTGGCTCCCGTTGCTGTGCATTTGACCGACCGCGCCGCCGACGGATCCCATGTGCTGACGGGTGCGCGTCGCCGGATCAGCAGCGCAGGTTTGCGGCCGACGCGGGTTCGCCGCTTGGTGCTGTCGGACACGCACAATGCACCACGAGGCAGCCAGCTGTCCACAAGTTTCGACGTAGAAGGACACCAACGCCCCTCTCGCTGGCCACCCCTCGTCGACTGCTTTGAACGTGCTGGTCGAAGTCCGCCTTGCTGTCGGGAGACCCTCGGACGTTCTGAGAAGCTCCTCGACGCCATCGACCTGCGGTACAATCTTGGACTACCGCTGTCCATCTCCAGCGAGCCTCGAGCCATCTGCCCGTCTTGGTCCTTTCGAGTCAGGCCCAGATCCCTCTTCACCATCACCATCACCATCACCGCCTGCTCTTCCTCCCGACATCAAGCCTTGACAGCCGGGATCCGCCGTGAGAGTGGTTCCAACCCTCCTCTCCTTCCCTCGCAACCCCCTCTTCATCGCCCTGGCCTCTGCGAAGATGGCCGAAAAGACCTCTCTGACGGCGCCCGTCGCGTTCGCGGTGGACCTCGAGAAGCATGCCTCCGCATCGAACGAGTCCTCGACGGCCCCGTCATACCCGACCTCGCCGGCTGGAGGCACCACGCTCAGCCTCGCCAGCGACGAGCTCAAGGGCGTACCTCTCGAGAAGCAAGAATCCTCTAGCCCGGTCGATGGCGTCCTGCCGGTGCCAGTCTTGCTCGATGCCGAGACACAGAAGCTTCCAGGCACGGCGGATGAGGAGCCCAAAAAGGAGCCGCCGGCGCCCAAAAAGGAGCCCGAGAAGCGCTTCAAGGAGGTCGACACGGGCTACCTCGACGGCCTGCGCGGCATCGCGATGATCATGGTGTGAGTGGGCGAGCCAGGCCGCCGTCTCTCCGCGGGCACATGCCAAAGATGGAAGCTGACGAGGACCTGCGACGTCCTTCGCCCGCCCCTACCCCTGCAGGTTCAACGAGCACTACTTCACGCACACCTTTGCCAAGCTGTTCCCTGAAGTCATCCAGCCGGGAAGCGCGCGCGACATCCTGCGGTCCAAGATGGGCCTGATCTTCTTTTTCATGCTGGCCGGCCGCCTCAACGTGACCTCGTGGTTCCGCCGCCTGCACCGCGGCAAGCCCCTCGTGTGGAAGTCGCTGCCGGACGCCATGCTGCGCCGCACGTGGCGCCTCGCCGTCATGTCGGTCATCGCCTGCATCGCCCAGGCCACGTCGTGCGCCGGCGGTGCCTACTACCCGGCGCAGAAGGCGAGCCCCATTCTCAAGATCGGCGACAACCTGTGGTACCCGGACTGGTGCACGCTCGTCAAGCGCAAGGGCTACGTCATCGCCACCTCGACCAGCTTCAGCGAGATTGCCGTCGACGTGATGCGCATCTTCACCAACCGCGACCACGTCTACCAGCTCAAGTACGAGGGCATGCTCTGGTCGATGTACACGCAGCTCTGGGGCATGATGTTCTGCCTCTTCCTGATGCCCGTGCTCATGTACATGCCGCTCTGGCGGCGGCAGGCGCTCTACCTGGTGCTCATGGTCGCGCTTGCCTCGACCTACAGCACCAATCAGCCCTTCCTGCTGGGCATCTGGCTCGCCGACCTGGCTGAATCGCAGATCCTCGAGCGACTCCGCCTCCGGTCGCGCTGGACCTACATCTCGCTCGAGCTCGTTCTGGGCGCCCTCACCTTCCTCTTCCTCTGCTACAACCGCATCGAGACTCAGATGCTCCAGGCGCTCGCGCCTATCACGTTCCGCGAGGGCGTGCTCGGCGTCAACCTCAAGAAGGACGACTTTGGCGGCTCCCCCGCCATCCTCCTCCGCGCCTTTATGGTCTTCCTCTGGCTCGAGATGTCCATCATGGGCCAGTGGCTCATCGGCAACTGGCTCTTCAAGGCGCTCGGCCGCATCGCCCTCGGCTTCTACGTGTCGCAGATGCCCATCGTCTTTGGCATCCTGCCGCCCATGGTCGTCAAGTGGCACAAAGAGGGCGTCGACTACTGGAGCCTGGTGTCGTACGGTGAGTCCGGTCTCGGCGCGAAGGGTTGCCATCGTCGCGCGCGGCAATGCTGATTTTCGCCACCGTGTCTTCGCCCCGTCCCTGCTTCTTCACGCCCGTGCTCTCCTCTGCTGCCGCCGAGACCGCTGCAGGCTGGTGCCTCTGCTTCACGCTCAACTGGGCCTTTGGCTGGGTGCTCGGCAAGACGATTGACCGCTGGTCGATCAGCAGCTCGGCGTGGCTCTCCAAGAACCTGGCCACGCGCGACACGGTGTCGTTCCTCGGTGCCCTGGTCCGCCTGGTGATCGACTTTTTCCTCGAGGACATCCCGGCCTTTTTGGCCTCGATCCCCGGCCGCTTCCGCAGCGGCCAGCGTGGCTTCGGGCGCTTCGTGTACGCGTGCAAGCACTGGCGCACGCCCGAGGAGCAGCCCGAGCCCATCGGTCCGCCAGAGGCCTACGGCTTCACCGACGCCGACCTCAAGTCGACCATCTTCACCTCGGACGTGCTCGACACCGAGCAGGCCCGGCGCGCCTGGCGGCTGCTGCGGATGAGCTCGTGCACCTTTATCCTGCTGCCCGTCGGCGCGCTCGGCGTCGGCTTCATCTGGGGCTGGTTCAACCCGTGGGCGTACTTCAAGACGCCCATGCCGGCATCGTTTAGCCTGCTGTGGAAGGTGCTGTGGCTCTTCACCTTCCCCTTTGTCGTCATCACCTTTGTCGGCTTCATGGCGCCGGACATTACGCTGTCGCGCAAGCAGCAGGACTCGAAGCGCGTCTACCGCGACCGCATCCACAAGCTCTACATTGTCTCGGTCACGCGCGGCACCAACGAGGACGCCACGCGCCGCTGCCACCTCGAGCTGCGCAAGCTGGAAAAGTACCACCCGGCCGTCGAGGTCATTGTGCTCACCGACGAGCCCAACGCATACCCGGACCTCAACAACATCGTCACGCCCAAGGCGTACGTGTCGCCGGGCAAGATGGCCAAGCACAAGGCGCGCGCCCTCGACTACTTCCGCCACGTGGCCAAGCTGACCCCCTACGACTGGGTGATGCACATGGACGAGGAGTCGATCATGGACGCCGCATCGCTCCGCGGCTGCATGGACATGATCCGCTACACGCCCCACGACTTTGGCCAGGGCATCATCCTCTACAACGCCCACAACTACTGGAAGGGCGTCGCCGGCTGGGCCTTTACCGTGGCCGACGCGCTGCGCGTCGGCGACGACCTCGCCCGCTTCTCGCTTCAGGCCAACATCTTCAAGCGGCCCGTGTTTGGCGTCCACGGATCCTTCCTCATGATCAACGGCGAGGTCGAGAACAAGATCGGCTGGGACTTTGGCACGCTCACCGAGGACTTTGAGTTTTCCCAGGTGGCGTGGGCCAAGGGCTACACGCTCGGCCGCATCCACGGCATTGTGCGCGAGCAGTCGCCGTCCAACGTGCTCGACTTCCTCAAGCAGCGCCGCCGGTGGTACATGGGCATCGCCCAGCTCGCCAAGCGCTTCACGATGCCCGCCCTCGCGTGCAAGGTGTGGACCGCTGGCGTCTTTTGCCTCATCGGCACGGGCATCAACCTCCTCTTCTCGTTCCTGCCCACCGGCAACGACCCCACGCCCTACTGGCTCTACATCATCAGCTGCTGGTCGTTTGGCACCTTCCAGGTCCTCTACAGCGCCGGCGTCATCTTCCAGGACATGGACTACTACGACTTCAAGGACTGGTGGATCATCCCGATCCACGTCGCCGCCACCTTTTTCATCTCGATGGCCACCTCTGGGCTCGAGGCCGCCGCCGTCATCTGGGCCATGTCGAGCGAGATTGAAAACGTCGGCTTCGAGGTCATCAAAAAGTAGTCGGCGGCCAGGCGCGCGAGCGAGCGAGCGAGCGCCGCGCCCGGCCATCCTTGCCTATACCGGCGCTCGCTCCTCATCTCCCCCGCTCGCACACTTCCATGTCCCCCGTCCCTCCTTCTATGAGCTTCGGCTCCCGCCACATTCGTTTTTCCCCCCCCATCCCACGCTCCTTTCTTCGCAACGTTACAGGTAGACCGCCCGACACGCAGCCGGCTCGATGCAGCGGCGTGGCGGGCACAGGACAATACACTTGCCAATCTCCTCCTCTTTGCTCCTCGGAGAGCCGAGCCGAACCCAGCCGAGGCGAGGCGAGGCGAGCCAAGCCAGACGCCTGACCGCGGTGCGACGGGCGAGCGGGGGGCAAACACGCTCGTCGCCGCGAGTTTCCTTGCTGGTACAGCGGCGGCGGGCCTTGTCGCGTTGCCTCGCTCCAGCAACATCGTGCCAGACCTCCTGACCTATCCCTGGGGCGCGGCAGGTCCTCGACCTCGTCGAATCTCAAACTGCATTAAGGGGCCTTCTATCGATGCTATGCCGATGCCGATGCCGATGCCGATACCCTCTTCGAATCTCCGTCGTGCCACGATCATGCCGTTTCCACAGCATCTAAGCGCCTCTACGCACCGCCGAGCCCGAGGCCGCTCTACGACCCTCGGCCCTCTTGAGCGCCTCCAAACAGCGCACGACGCCATCGACGTCGCTCAGCAGCGTGACATGGCGGTGTGGACTCTCGACGATGCCCGGTCCGTCGAGTCGCAGCACCGTCTTGCTCTTCCTCTCCCTCTTCCCGCTCGACAGCGCCACATCGTCATCGTGCGGATGCGGGTGCGTGACTTCGTCCCGACGCACGAGGAGGCGTGACCACCCACCGGGGAGCGACGTCGAAGAGTGGCGCGTAATCAGCCCGTCGCCCGGTGCGTACTTCATGCTGGCGTAGTTGCCCTCCCTGACGTCGTCCTCCCATCCCGTCGCCGTCGTCGTGGTACCGGCGACAGCGGCGGAGGTGGTGGCGGTATCGTCGGGCGACGGTGGGAGACCGACAATGGCCCCGGATACCGAGGGTGTACGGCCCGACGTCAACACCACGATGGGCGGGTACAGTCCTCGCTGGAACTTGGCCGGATCGAACGACGTCTCGAGCACGTCGTGGAACCTCCGTACCTCTTTGAGCGTCCGGGCCAGGTAGCGTCTCGGTTCTTGCACCTCCTCGTCCTCCTCGTCCCCTGTCGTTGTCGTCGCCGATGGCGCAACCGCCGCCGCGGCCGAGGGAAGGGGAGGCTGGCCGAGTGAGGAGTCGGGTAGGCCCACCTTGTCCCGCGCCCTCTCTTCATCTTGCCCGCCGCTGCCGCCGCCAGCGTGGCCGGGGACGATGCAGGGACTAAAGCCGTACCGCTGCCACGTCTCGACGTCGAGGAAGTCGAGATCCTCGTACCTGCCCCCCTCCTCCCCTTCGCCTTGGCCCTCGTCCTCGTCGTCCTGGCTCGCGGGCACGTAAAAGCACCTGCCCCGCTTGGGGAGGAGGTAGAAGCTGCTCCGGAAGCTGAACGTGGCGCGCGGACTGCAGATGGTATCGTTGAACAGGGCCGCATCGCCGTACCGCAGCGGCCCGAGGATGTTGGGCGTACCCTCGAACGGCGTCGAGGCGAACACAATGCCGCTAAAGATGCGCGGGTCCGGCGCCGTCGCCAGCGCAAACAGCGTCACCAGGCCGCCCATCGAGTGCGCCACGACCTTGGCGCCGCGCCGCCTCGACGGGTCCGGCGACGACGCCTCGTACAGCTCGGTGAGGAACGCGACGAGGCGCGCCGACGACAGCGGCAGCGAGAGGCGCCAGTCGTACCCCCACGTGTGCACCGTGCACCGCGGCGAGCTCGTGGCCAGCCGGGTCTGGAGCCGCTTGCCCATGTCGACGAGCCGGCCAATGTGCGTCACCATGTCGCTCGCGTAGACGTCGGCCTCGGAGCGCGACTCGGCCTCGGCGTCGAGCGCCAGCTCGAGCGTGGGCCGGCGCAGCCCCACGCCCACCTTGATGGGGATCCAGAGCCGCTCGTCGGTCTCGGCGGACCGCAGTACGCTGCCGCGGTAGCCGCCCAGGATGACGACGTTGCCCTCGACGCCGCGCACAAACTGCGAGATGCCCCGGTGGCGCTGCACCGTGGGAACCAGCTCGGGCTCGAGCAGGTTGACGGCGGGTGCTGCTGCTGCGGACGGAGCCGCGGGGGGCGCAGAGGGAGGAGGGCCCGGGTTGAGGGGAGCCTCGGGCTGAACGGCAGACGACGACGTCGAGAGGAGATCGGCCGAGTGGGCCGAGACAAAGGACCAGGCGCTCGTGAGGCTCTTCCAGTTGGGCGCCGGCAGCGAGAAGCCGCTGTTGCGTTTGGCCCTCTTGTCTGCCGTGTTGGCCGGCGTCGGCACAGTCGGCGTCGCGGTCGTAGGCTCGGCCGTCGCAGCAGACTCTTGTTGCAGCGAGAGCGGGTCGACGCCCTCGCGCTGGGGCTGCGGCGAGACGATGGCGTCGGTCCTGGCGGCGTCTTCCATGCTCATGCCGATGCCGAACCCGCTCTGCTTTGCGCTCAGCTGCTCTCCACCGCTCAGCCCGCGGTCCGGCAAGGTCCCAGACTGAGTGATTTGCGCCGCGTTCTGCTGCTGCTGCTGCTGCTGCTGCTGCTGCTGCGACGCGTTGCGCCAAAAGAAGCGCTTGGTGATCCTGGACCGGGTCTCGTTCCAGCCGCTGCTGACGCCGAAATGGGTGTCGTAGAAGGCCTGCTTGGCCGAGGGGTTGCGATGCGATGGGTCGACGTAGCTCGCCGTTGGGTCGCGGCGCGAGGGTCGCCAGGGGTAGGACTCGGGGTAGACGATGTCGTCAGGATGACGTTCGTCGGTGTGCGCAGGTGCAGGTGCGTGTGGATGGAGAGCCGTGCTGGTGAGCGGCGCCGATGATCCGGAGCTGGAGCTGGATGACGAGCGTGAGAATGCGGGCGAGGACGAGGGCGAGGGTGAGACCGACGGGGGCAGGTCATGCCGCGCTCGTCGAGGCGAGGTGGGCACGCTGGCTGCTGTGCGGCCATTCTGGATTTGGTCGGCGTTGTGGTTGCTAGACTGGGCCGAGTGCAGGTGGGACGGGGGCAGTTCGCTACGTCTCCTCTGCTTCTTGTCGTCGTCCTTGTCCTTGCCCTTGCCCTTGGTCCTGCGCAGGCTCCTGCCCATTCCCGCGAGGAACGAGGAGGCGGCGGACGCGGTTGACGAGGAGGCGGCGGCGGGGGAAGTCTTTGGACGTGGAAAGTGCTGGTACTTCCAGTTGCGCTTGTCCTCGGGGATGTACCGGCCGTGAGGCAGTGTGTCCGAGTTCAAGGGTCGGGTGGTAGACGATGGCGATGGTGACGGTGCCGGTGATGGAGATGGTGCTGACGAGGCAGAGGATGGGGTGCCCGAGGCAAATGTGCGTTTGAGGAGCGTCGACATGGCGGTACAGGCTAGGCCAGGACGTCTAGAGGCACGGGCGAGAGAAGGGACGCGTTGATGGTGGTGGTGTTAGTGGTGGTCGATGGGAAGGAAGCGAACCCCCCTCGTCGGCCGCCAACCATATGGCCCCAAGGAGAGGCCGGCCCTGGCGTGGCAGCCTTCTAAGGAGGTCGTGTGGTCGAGGCCAGAGGGGGGTTGCTCTTCGGAAGGCCCGCCGGGCGGCACCACAGAGAGAGAGAGAGAGAGAGAGAGAGAGAGAGGAGGACGGACGACGGAGGAGACGACGACGCGGACGGTCCGTCGTCGTCGTCGTCCGTCCGTCCGTCCGTCCCGTCCCGCCCCGTC